GAAAGCCCAGCTGAGATCAGAGAATAGAAATTTGTAGTGGACCCAGTTGATAAGATTCTGAGACTTTCTTCAGTTCAGTATGTGAATAAGAATGTAGAAGGTGGTTGGTGGGAATAATCCAGGGTTGGGATTTGGCAATTGAACTAATTAACAAAAGATTTGAGAGTAGAGGACTTTGTAGAATTGAATTGTTTCACTAAGGAGCTAAGATTGGGAAGAGTATGTTGGCCGAGCAGGGTGACCTGGCAAAATACTAAGGGGGTGTATAGGTTTGGAGGAGTAAAGGCAGGGGAAGAAATAGAATGATAGGAGATTGTGATCAGATGAAAGAAATTCAGTGTTCTTGAACATGAGTGGAGAGAATTTAGACGTGATTGCAAGATCAAGGGTATGACCCTCTCTGTGTTTTCCCTGAGGTGGAGTAGAGAAGGAGGTTATGGGAGCAGAGTAGATTGAGGAACCTGGAGGTTGGAGTTTTTCAGGGAGCTTCAACATATATGCCTAAATCCTGTAGAATGAGAGTGAAAGGGAAACTGTGAGGTGATGAACTCTTTAAAAAGGAGGGAGAATGTCCTGGCTCACGGCAGAAGGGACTTCATCGTCTATTTAGTGCATAAAAGGAATCCCCACTATAACATACCTGACCAATGGTCCTCTGATCTCTGCTTGAAGACCTCCAAGGCAGGGAACCCACCATCTTTCGAGGAAGCTCATTCCACTTTGGAGCAGCTCTAATTGTTAGAAAAATGTGAGGCATTTCATATTATGACAAGTCATAGCTGACCTGGAAAACAGGTTGCGGGGAAAAAAATGTATCATTGGCTACCAGAAATGCCATAACAAAAAAAAAAAAGAGCCTAGACATCATATTTCAAGAAATCTCAAAAGAAAATTACCCAGATCTATTAGAACCAGAGGGCATAGTGGAAATAGAAAGAAGCCACTGGTTATCTCCTGAAAGAAATTTCAAACTGAAAACTCTTAGGAACATCATAGCAAAATCCAGAATTTCCAGGTTAAGGAAAATTTACTGCAAATAGCCAGAAAGAAAAAATTCAAGTGCTGAGGAGCCTCTGTCTAAATTACATATGATTTAGTAGTCACCACTATTAAAGGAGCATAGAGTTTTGAATGTGATATTCCAGAACACAAAGGATATAGGCCAACATCCAAGAGTGACGGGGAAATCAGAAAAACTGAGTATAATCCTACAGGGGGAAAAATGGATCTTTAATGATACAGAAGACTTCCATGTATTCCTGATGAAAATAACAGAGCTCATAGATATTTTGAACTTCAAACACAGGAGTTAAGAGAAACATAAAAAGATACACATGAATGAACAAAGGATTAACCAAGAATAAATTACTTGCATTCTAATATGGGAAGATAATACATGTCCCCTCTGAACCCTATTGTTATTAGGGGTCATAGAGGGAGTCTTATTAGATAAGGCCTGGGAATAGTTCTATTTATGTCTTGATTATCTTAAGAACTGAATGGAAGAAAGGGGGGAAGGAAGGAAGCATTAGGGAAAATCATCTCACATAATTAGAGAGACAGACAAGAAGGAGGAGTTGGAGTGGAGAGGCTTGAAACTTGGACTTTACTCTCATTTGAACTCATCAAAGGAGAGAAGAATAAATAGAGTTGGGTACAGCAAAATAATTTATTCAATGGAGAAATAGGGAAAAGAGAGAAGGGAGAATTGGAGTATAGATTAAGGGAGGGATTAGGCTTAAGCAAAACAAACTAAAGATGTCCAAAAATATTTATACCTCTTTTTGAGGTGGCAAAGAATCGGAGACTGAGGGGCTTTCCATCAATTGGAGAATGGCTGAACAAGTTATGGTGTATGAATGTGATAGAATTATAGTATATAAATTGCTCTGTAAGAAATGATGAAGGGAATGGTTTTAGAGAAACCTGGGAAGACCTGTATGAACTGATGCAAATTGAAGTGAACAGAACCAGGAGAACAATTTATATGATGACAACATCATGATAAAAGCTAACAACTTTGAAAGAATTAGGAACTCTGATCAGTGTAACAACCAATCACAATTCCAGATGACTCATGATGAAATACACCACCCACCTCCTAATGGAGAGGTGAAGGACTCACAGTGCAGAATGAGACATAATTTTTGGATTTGGCCAATGTAGAAGTTTGTTTCACTTAACTATACATGATTATAACAGAAGTTTTGTTTTTCTTTTGTTCTCATTGTGGGATAAGGGGAAACTGAGGTGGGAAAGAGAGAAGACTGATTTTTGCTGATTGAAAAACATAAAATATAATTTGAAAATAAATAAGAGCTCTACCCTTCTTAATACAGCCCAAGATCACATTCACTTTTTTGGCTGCTATATCATACTACTGACTCATAGCTTGCAGTCCACAAAAACTCCTAGATCCTTTCAGAACAACTGCTACTCAACCACACTTCCCCCATCTTATACTTGTGAAGTTGATTATTTTGTACCCAAGTGCAAGACTTTATATTAATCTTTTTTTAATTTCATCTTATTAGATTCAGTACCAAAGCCCCAGCCTGGGGAAATCCTGTCGGATCCTGTCATCCAGTGATCTCCCAGCTTTGGGTTATTTCAGATTTGAGGAGCATATCATATCTGCTTTTATCTTAAGTCATTGATAAAAATGTTAAATAGCATAGGGCCAACCACAGATCCCTGGAGTACTCCACTGGAGACCTCTTGCTACACCAACATTGAACCATTAGCTGCTACTCTTTGAGGCCATCCGACAAGTTCTGAATCTGATTGCATTACCATCTATATTCTTCTCCACAAAAATAGTATGTGATACTGTACCTCATCAAATGCTTTGTTAAAATCTAAGTAAACTATAGCTATAGCATTTCCCCTCATCTGCTAATTTGTAATCCTGTTAAAAAATGAAAAGGTTAGTCTTACATGACCTGTTCTTTTTCTATCTATCTATCTATCTATCTAATTTCCCTCACCCCAATTACATGTAAAAACAATTTTTGATATTTGTTGAGTTTTTTTTTTTTTCAGTTTTGAGTTCCAAATTCTATCCGTCTGTCTGTCCCCTCCCTCCTCCCTGAGACAGTAAGCAATCTGATATGGGTATGGTTGTGTAATCACGTAAAACATGACCTGTGTTTAATGATGCTAAACTAGTTCTTTGTAATCACCATTTTCCCTTCTAGATTTTTGCCTACTATATTTTTCATGGTCTGTGCTAGAATTTTCCTGAAATCAAAGTCAGCCTCTCTGGCCTATATTTTTCAGGCTCTGTTCTCTTCCCTTCTGAAAATAAGAACATCAACATTTGCCCTTCTTGAACCTTGTGGTACTGTTCCTATTTTCTGTGATCTTTCAGGTGCCATTGGTCCTGGCTTAGCAATCCCATCAGCTAGTGCTTTCAGGTCCTGAATCATTCATCTGGGCCAGGTGACTTGAATTCATCAAGGGCAGCTCAGTGTTTTCTTCCTATCGCCTTACTTACCTTAGGCATTACCACCTTGTTAGTCCTTCTTTGTTCTGTTATTTCCAGTGTGTGCAGTTCATTCTCTTTTGCAGAGAAGATAGAAACAAGGTAAGAAAGAAGGAGCTTTGCCATTTCTCCATTGTCACATATCATCCCATCTGCTCCAAGCAAAGCTCCTATCCCTTCCATGGTTCTCTTTTTCTCCCCAGTTTGACCTTTTAAAGAGCCCTTTTTTGTTCCCAGCTTCCCTCCCTAGTCTCAAATTGTTTTGAGATGTGACATTCCAGGCATTATTTTTAAAGCATTGTGCTGTGCTCCTATAGCATCCTGTTATCTGGCCTTGCTTCCATATTCTGTACATTTTTCTTAAATTTAAGTTGGTTGGTAAGTTCCCTGTACATTCACATAATTTCCTCAGACAAATCCCATTTTTTTCCCCTCGTGGGATTGTTTCTTTTTATGGTTTCAGAATTTCATTCTTAAGCATCTCGCTTCCCTTCTGTGGTGACTGCCTCTGAAGCATTATAGTCCATGGCATCCTCTCTGTTTTTGCCCCAACTTGTGCTGTCCCCTGCCCCCATCTTGGAGTAGTTTCCATGAGAGAAGGTTATGGAGAAAGCAGGAGAATATAGAGAAGGGCTTTTAGCCAATAACAAGAGGGAAAAAGTGTAGATGGCTTGGGACTAGTGAGGCAGGTGGAACTGGGAGAGGGAAAATTTGGGGGAATTTGGAGAAAATTTGAAGTCATACAATCTCTAGGCCCAACTACTAGTCTAGATTCTACTTCTGGGATGCAAGGGAAACAGGATTAAAGACAAGGAGAAACACGAAAGATCAGGAAGTAGATCATGAAGAAGTAAACTAAGGAAGGAGAAGGTGGATGACATGATAAAAAAGCTAAGTTAGAGGATTAAACAAATTAGTAGAGTGGTGGGTAGAGCAAATTGGGGAAGCACATAGGAAATCTGATGTAAGGTTGGAGAGAGGAGCTTTTCTTGGGTAGTCTGAAATTCCATTTCACTGGGAAAGGAGAATGAGAGAGGGTGCCAGTTGGCATCATAGGAGATGTGAGTCCAGGCACAGTGTCAGTGGATGGGAGGAACCTGTTGAGTCTACTCATGTGGTGAGTAGGAGATTCTCTTTGGTCTCACCTCATGGTCTCCCTCTCTACAGGGTGTGGGCCCCTGAAAGAGGTGCATATGCCTGCTTTAACATAACAATTCCTACCATAAATATCCCCACTTCTATCAAATTATTATTTCTGGTGTTTTAAGATTTCTTATTGCCTTGGTCAACCTCATCTGGATAAACTCTAGCTTCTCCATGTCTCTCTTAAAATTTGGCACCTAAAACTGAATATACGACTTTAAAAGTGTTACTACTGTATTCATTGTCCCATTGATCCTAGGAGGTTAGCAAAAGGAGGAGGCTAGGCTGCAGCTGCCACTCCATCTGTGGCTATGACTGGGTCTGGGTCTGAGTCTGGGTTACCTGTCTTATCTGCCTTTCTGGCCTGTTGCAGGAGAGATGCAAGGTACAGTGCACCGGCTGCTGTTGGAGGAAAGACAGAATGAGCTGAAGACTGGCTCTGTCTTGCTGCTGAAACAGGTAAAGGAGTCAGAGAGCTGGCTTTAGAGATCCTCCCAGATCACAGGAGTACATTGATTAGTGCTTTAAAGCTTGAAAAATGCTTCACCCATGTTGTTCTGTCCCAGGGCTGTGACTCCCATATCATGGCTTAGCTGGCTGCATTTTCTCCCAGAACCCAAGCAGGGATAGGACCGTCCTGTGGCCAGACTTTGAGCACTTATCCTGCAGCTTTGGGCCACTTAGTGAAGAGCTGACCTTGAGAGAGTGCTTTAAAGTTTGCAGAGTGCTGCCTCTCCATTATCTCATATGGTATCCTGTTTCTACGGAGCTAGCTCCTGTTCTGTTGGTGTTGGTTCTTTCTCCATAGTGCTGGGGTGAGGCAGGGAGAGGGACTTGGGTCAAGGTGTAAAGATTTCTGTGTGACCTTGGTGTAGAGCAGTCAGAATCTTATGTCCAGATGGGTGCCACTCAGAGAGTCTAGCTTTGAGTACCTATGGAACTGTGACCATCTTCTCCTGTTCCTCAGATTGGAGTATTCTCCCCCTCACTCCGCAATCACTACCTCAATGTGACACCCAACAACCTGGTTCAGATTTACAGCCCAGATTCGGAAGACGGGAGAGTCCCCAGAAGCTCTCAGCCCCTTGCCAAGGTAAGAGGGTCTTCAAAGACTGGGCAGTTGGGAGAAGACAAGGATCTTTCTTTTTTCCTCTTCTTTCCTCCCACTTCCTTTCATTTTGTCTTCTAACCTGTTTTCTTCCTTAGTATCTCTGCTTCCCAGAGAGGCTAACACTGGGGAGCAGTGTTCTTACAGTAAAGGGACTCCTTTTTCCCCAGGTCCCCACTGCTGACAGGGTAGTAAGGTGAGCATAGTGAGTGTCTACGTGAACAGGCTAGGTTCCCAGTGATCTTCAGGTATCTTATTGAAGACTCCAGAGTTTGAGGTGCTGAGAATCACTGTAAATTTAACTAAGGATTGGGGTCCTCAGGGTGGAAAAGGTTGGGGAGAGCCACAGAGCTTGCAGAGCCAGGCAGTAGGCCAGCTAACCCAATGTGTTATAATAAACTCACTCTTTTTTGCCACTGCAGTCTTGGAGAAGGGGGAGGATATGGGACTTTGAGGACTTTGGGGTTGAAAATGGAGAAACTTCGGCCCAGGACATTGTGTTATTGCAGCTGTGCTGAGAACGTGGTCCTTTGGATGCTCTGGGGCATTAGGCATGACCCTTTCTTTCCCTACCCCCTGTATACTGTACTTAAACCTCCCTGCTTCTTATCCTAGGTTTGTGTTGGGTTCAACAATATATTGCTTTGGCAGTGCCCTATTGTCTTTGGACTTGCCTTAGTGTAGTGGGCTGAGGGTCAGAAAACCTGAGTTCTAGTTCTAACTTTACCACTAATTAGTTATGTGGTCTCAGACAGGCCTTGCCAGCTGAAATTTCTCCCTGTATTACGTAAGGGAGATCTTGGGAGCCCATAGATGACCATAGATTTAGTAACAACAACAATAATGATGATGATATCTAACATATGGCATTTACTATGTACCAGGCACTGTGCTAAGCACTTAACAATTATTATCCTAATTGATCCTCACAATAACCCTGGGAGGTAGGTGCTATTATTCCCATTTTACAAATGAGGAAACTAAAGTAGACAGAGGTGAAGTGACTCACTTAGAGTCACACAGCTGGTAAGTGTCTGAGGCAGGATTTGAACCTTAGTCTCCTCTGACTTCAGGCCTAGCAATGTTTTATCCACTGTGCCACCTCTCTCAGGGCTCTGACAGCCCTGATATTCTATCTGTGATTATATCTCAGTTTTTCTGATTTTTTTTCCCTTTCTCAAAGAACCAAACCATGTACTCTTGATTTGTTGTGTATAGATAAGTCACTTCTTACATTATCTACCACTAATGTTTTAGGAAATTTGTTTTTGTTTTTTTTTAAATTGATATGTTTTCCACGGTCCCCTTACTCCATCTTACAAAATGCATTCCCTAAAAAGGAAAGTAACCCAGTCTGATAGTGTGATTTCCATGGCTGCTTATTAATCCTAGGCCAGTTTCTCCAGAAGTGTGCCATCAGCCAGTGTGTGGTCAGGGAATTCAAATGCCCTTTAATATCAACCCATTCAGACAGAATTGGGAAGGTCAGTTTGATACCCAAAACTCACAGACGTTTCAACATGAAACAAATGGCTTTTTGGATTATTGGGTATTTTGGGTAATTTCTGCTATAGCTTATTTCCATTAGCAATATGACCAAAACTTGGCTGTATTTGCTTGAGCTTAAAAGCTTGTTTGGGCAAGTGTGCCCCCTGACACCCCCCCCCCCCCAACGAAGGCTGGAAGACTCCAGATCCTGTCTTCAGTTCTTCGGGCGTTTTCAGATTTCCAGACATCTCCAGTCAGAATCTCTGTCTCAGCCTTCTGCCCCTGAGAGCTCCTTTAGTGCTCTTCATTGTGATGGGAAACCAGGAGAGGAACATAGGACAGCCCGAGTGGAGGCTGCCTCCAGAGAAGAGCTTCCTGAAGCAGGTAAGAAAGTGAGCCTCTGTCCAGCAGAAGAGACACTCTTACTGCTGCTCTTTCATAAAGAACGACCCAGCCAGGCTCTTGACTGTTGCCAGTTTTGTCCTTCTGTCTTTGGAGCTTTGGATCTTCCAAAATCCCACCTGGTGAGTCTGGTGTTGCAGGCCACCTGACTATGAAGAGGATAGCACTCTGTGATGGGGGGTAGGACTTGGGGAATTCTAAGTGATTATTGGGGTGTTTAAAGCAGTGATTCTACCTCTAGCTTTGATTACTGGCAGTAGTGAATGGAACTCTTATCAGTGTAACCATAGGCATGTTATTTAACCTTTCAAGTCCTCACTTTTCCCAGCTATATAATGGCAGTAATAATGCCGGCATTACCTACCCCATGGTTGTTATTGGGAGAGTGCTTTGTAAAACTTAAAGGACTATTGGAATGTGTGATGGTGTTTGATATGTGTATGTGGGTGCTCTAAAGTTTGCAGCATACTTGGCATACGTTATTTTATTGAAGCCCACAAAAAAAGGGTAACTTTACATGGAGGGATAGGAATACCCCAGGACTAGGGGTGGGATACTTCCACAGAAGAAGCTGGGTACATCTAAAGGCCAGTCAACTGCAATGCCTGGGGGCATCTTTATCCAATTCCACAAAAGGACCATTATATAGGTTCCCCACTAGGGTATCAGAGAGTGAGGACAAGTAATCCCCAGGGATTGCTGTGCCTCCACTGTCTGTTTGCATCTGTAACTGAGCTAATTACTCTCACCCTTCCCTTTTGTGCTATGCAGATGATCTGGATGGGCTTCTCGGTGAGCTGCCTGAGGACTTCTTCTCTGAGGACAGTGGCTGGTGAAGTAGGACCACAAGGAGCTGGCATTGTCTTGTTTATTGCAAGTCTGACATGGACATGTCTAACCTTGTGAAAGAGTGGATGAAGGCAGTGCTGTGTTCTTGCCTTAGCAAATAACCTAGTGAACATGTCAGCTGCCCTTCCACTGCCAGTTTCCAAGAGAGCTCTCCTTATCTTCCAGGTCAGAGCATCTCCCTCTTAACAGTTTCTGTCCTTGGAGACAGTGGGGGTTTGATCTGGAATCCAACCTGGCCCCAGAAAGCATCAGTTTCAATTGTAGACTTGTTTCCTGGTCCTCTTATCGCTTTGGTCTCCATTCTTTGGATAGTTGGACAGACAGGAACAAATAGGGACATGTTCCCCTAGAATCTGGGCTTAGAACTTACGTATGCTTCCATCACCACCCCACCTGGGGTTAAATTATCAGTTCATTTTCCCTCAGAACCATGTATATTCTGCTAATATCATCCTTCCCCTGAAAAACTACGTCACTTAAGCCTGGATTATTTATTTTCCTCTAAAACAAGGTCTGTGCTAAAGTTACACAGTTTAACTTGTGCAGGAGGCTTTCAGGTTTAGGGTCAAAGAATTAGGGTATTATGCCATATTCTGAAACAAAGTATGGTGCCACTTCGGACTTTAGGCTGTGCTGTTCTCCTGCCAAATTCTCTTGTGACTTCAGCCTCCTTGGCTTCTTTGTGTGTCCTACCCATCTTGATGCTGGAAGCCATAATGTCATTAGGGAGGGCTGAGCACTCTAAACCCAGACAGCCTTCAGAGAAGGGGACACCATGACATTAACTGTTAGTCCTCTAATGTAGTGATTTCAGTACTCCCATGTCAGGCACTGGTCAAGGAGGAGGATGGGACGCAATTCTTTATATTTGTCCCATCCCTAAAATGTCTCAGAGTTAATTACTGCACGTGAGGAAAATAGAGTTGGTTTAACATCTGCTGCTCATTTCCAGAAAAGGAGAGGACCCAAAGAGTTAGGGCCATCTGGGGTTAGGTTTGAATTGCCAACTCGCTCTCAAGGACCACGTTATTTAGGCTTGGGGCCTCTCTCTAAAATGTAACTTCCCCACTTCTAAAATGTATCTCCATTGTGAGGCTAAAAAGAGAAAAGGAAAGGCTATAGGGGATGGGGAGGCAATCAGTCATTTGATAAGCATTTCTTATGTTCCAAGTCTTGGACGCTGTACTACACAGTAAAGAATGAAATAACTCCTGTCATAGGGATCTTACATTCTAAAGTGGAATATTACAAAGTGTACGTGTGTGTGTGTGTGTGTGTGTGTGTCTATTCAGAATAAATAGAAAGTTAATTAATACAAGTAACTAAATGTAATGTTGCTTGGGAGGGAAGACACTGGCAGTTAGAGATATTAAGGAAGGCTTCATGTAGAAGTTGCTGTTTGAACTGGGGGGTTCAAGGAAGTGGAAGATTCTTGGAGTCAAGAAGTGAGGAGGACAGACATTTTAGGCATGAAGAGCAGCCAATGCAAAGCTACAATGGGGTGATAGCCGGAGGGACTGACCCTTGTGTCATAGTTGGCACCTTGGACTGACCTTGATCTACCTTTCTTACATGAATATTTTACTATAAGCTGGATCCCTTTCCTTCCCTCAGCTGCATATACAGCTAACCACTTTTATCTCTGCCAGATCTCCTGTCTGGAATGTCCCTTTTCTTCCTGCCCCAATCCCATCTCTGCCTATCAGGCCTCCATCTAGCTTTCAAGGCCTGGATCAGTCTTGTCTCTGTGAAACTCCCTCAGGTTCTTCTAGCCCACAGGCCTTTCTCTTCTGAACTCTATTTAATACATGTTAAAAGACACAAAGATGGAAAAAAAAATAACTGTAGAGTTTAGAGCTGGAAAGGACTTTAGAAATGTTCTTATTGTACAGAGGAAGAAACTGAGGCCCGTGGATTTGAAGGGATTTATCCAGGTCATGCCAATAAACAGATTCAGGATTCAAATCCATTGCTGTTTTTTCTGTACCATAGTACTTCTCATAAGGCACTTAGCACATTGCACTGTAGTTACTAGAATTATGTGTCTAGGCCTTTCATTTACAGTGTAAACTTGTGGAAAACAGTGATTGTGTCCTTTGTATCTGGCATGGCACCTTGGGACAGAATCTGTGCTCAGTAAATGTTGAATGAAGCAGCCCCTGTAGGTTCATAGTGAAATGGGGGATAGAAAAGAAAATCCTGTTCCACTCAAGTTACTTAGCTCCTCGGAGAGCATGGGAGACGGACAAAGATACCCTGTGGGCGCCATGGTGAGGGTGCCCTTCAGCCCTAAGTGCTCTCTATTGGTCAAGGATGGGGAAGGTGCCAAGAGTAGATCTGGAAGGCCAAGGCACTGTTCCTGTTCCCTTCTCCAACAAGATTCCTGACCCCACTCCCCATACACAATCCACCTTGAGTATTTTGTGCCCCTTCAAGAGAGGAAAGGAGTACACACTACCCACCTTGGCTCCCTCAGCCCCACCCCGCTTTGCTAACTGCTGCAACTAGGCGGTTGGCAGTTTAATTATACAATAATGAGTTCCAATAGGGTTAATCACAGCTGGGTCTATAGAGGTGCCTTTCTCTGATGATCTCCAAGCACTTTCTGGTCATGATCTCATTCTTGCCCAAAATATCTCAGATAGAGGAGAAGGGTAGGATCCTTTACCCATCCACTCACTTCCTTAACTATCTACCCCTACCTGCATGGGACAGGTGGAACCAGAGGTAGGGTGAGATAAGTGGACTGATTGAAGAAAACAGTAAGATGATAGAAGCAAAACAACTTCAAGTGCTCAGGTGTTTAAACCAAAGTAGAATCCGAGTATCCTTATTAAGTGGGGCTTGGGCATGGTGGGGATGGACAGCTGTAATATTAAACACAGCTTTAGCAGGGAAGAAACACTGCAGGCAGAGAGCTCTGCATAAGTTTGAAACAAATAGAGGCCTTTAATCCCCGGACAAGAGCACAGTATGGTGTATCAGAAGGGAGGTGCTCAAAGACCTGAGGCCATGCAACAAGTTCAATTGCCTTTGGGTTTTATCAGGCTCCTGCTATGTCTAGGATGACTGTGAAAGATGCCTCCCTCACCTTAGGAGAACTGGCAGAGGCTGGATCGCTGATCTCCCTACTGACAGTGATGCTGTTTCTTGGTGTCATTCCTCCCTCTAGGGATGTGTAAGTAAAGCTGCCATCCTCATGGGGAGAGATGTTTGCTCTACCACTTCCTTGAATGTTGGAAAGACACCAAGTCCAACCCAAGCAGTAATGCACTCTTAACTATCCCCCCAATAAGTGGTTATCCACTGTCTGCCTGAAGACCTTCTGTTCTACTTTTGGACAGTTGTCTACCTTCCTATAACTTCCCAGGCACCTGGGGGCTCCCAGGGGAGGAGATCAAACTTGCCAGTTTGTGGGGGCTAGGAGCTTGGCTGAGGGAGAGGAGAATGGACTGTTCTTTGGCCCTTTTCAGGCTATTATTTGTCCCCTAGCTTATTGCCTGGGCTAGAGGTAGAATGGAAGAGAAGGAGATAAAGAGTGTGGACAGTGGCTAATTACTGGCCTTCTCCTTTTAAGTCCCTCTGATGAAGGAAACCTCACTAGGTTTTGTACTCTTGTCCTGTGTGGAGGCTGGAGGCATGTCTCCTCTTGCTAACTTTGGTGACTGATTCCATCTCCCTTTACTTCCTTTATCTGTCATTCATCCAAACAACTGATGAATGGAGCCTCCTCTGACTAGGAAGACCCAGGCCACTTGATTTCATTTCCTTCCCCCCAGACTTGGTTTACTTACCCTGGACCTTGCCACTGGGATCCAGAGGGTAGCCTCAGCTGGGACCTTCTGTACATCTCAGTGTGGAAGTAAACATGTTAATAAGACAGCATGGCCTCTGGAGGGGGCTCAGGCCTAAGTTTTTCTCTACTGGGACCATGACACTGCACAAAACCTGTTGATCAGATTGCCAGGGAGGCCTATTTATAGCCTCAGCTGCTCCTGAACAAACAGCTTTGGTAAAGAGGGGCTCCTCAGAGCAGAGATGGTAATGTAGTGTGAGCCTGGTATTGCCTGGGCACCCGCTATCATAAATTGGGTCCATTACAGCATGGCAAGAGAGACTTTCCCCTTCACTTCTTCCACTTTGCGCTCACTTCGTCTGCAGCAAGAATGGCTAGAATGGGAAGATCGGCGCCGGGCAGCTGCCTGGCAGCGCTACAACCGGAGGTGCCCCCCAAGCACCCGGACCCCACTTACCCGGACTCCCTGCTATTGCCGGGATCCAGCTGTCCATAATGCCCTGTTTGTGGGTGATCTGCAACGGATCCAGGCCCTGTTCCAGGATGAAGCAACAGCCAACATGATTGTGGAGACTGTCAGTGACCAGCTGGCATGGTCGGCTGAACTGGGTAAGGGGCATCAAGAATGTGCCTAAGTGGGTAGAAAGAGGAGAATGAAAAGAATGTCATTGGGTAAGAATTTTAGACACTATTCCCTACCCACTGATGGTATTGATACCAAGATGGGGCCTCCTTCTTTCTCCCAATGGAGAATGTTCCCCAGGTTCTTAGGAAATACTGTTCATCTTACTCCTCCCTACCTCTTTTTTTGGTAGAGGAACAACAATGACCTGTGACACCCTGGCCAATGCCCAGTGTTTCATCTGGTATCTTGAGGATTTTCCTAGCCATTTTGGTAGAAGATGCTTCATCCTGTCCACTCGATAGTCCCTTATGTTCTCATGCCCTTTGGGGGAAATAGTTGTGTCCATCCTTTTCCTGCTCCTCCCAGTTTTGTCTTATTCTGCTCATGACCCTATTCAATGGTATGTATCTCTTGCTCCTTCTCCCCCAGGCCTCTGGGTACTGACCCCAAGGACCAAGCAGACGACCCCATTACAAATTCTGGCAGCCCGAGGTTACACCAACTGTGTCCGCTACCTGATCCTGCATGGTGCTGATCCGGATGCCCGAATCGGGGGGCAGACGGCCTTGCATGAGGCCTGTGCCCAGGCCCAGCCAGACTGTGTGAGGTTGCTGCTTGACTTTGGAGCCAATGCTAATGCACTGTCAGAGGAAGGCATGGCTCCCCTCCACCTCTGTACTACCCCTGAGTCTTTACGGTAGGTTCCTTTGAGGCTGAGATGTCACTTGGCATAGAAAAGTTGGATAGTTGTTCAGTTTTATGTTGGTTTTTTTTTTTATTTGATTTCCCTACTAGACTGAAAAACGCACTCTGGGCAAGGACTGTATCTTTATTTTTGTATATATATCTCAGTGCCTTGCAGAAAAGAAGGCAAGTTCTCTTGCTCAGCAGAGCCCCAGATAATCATAGGATGGGAAGGGAATGTTGGCTAAGGGGAATTAGGGAAGTCCAGAGCAAAACTAGGGGAAGAAGCTGGCCAAGGGAGTCCTTGTACAGAAAGATGCTGATAGCTTCTACGTCCACCATACTTTGTAACTCTAAAGACTTTCAAACTAGTTGGATCCTTACTTTATCCTTTATCCTGAGAGATCATGAGGAACAGGTCCAAGGGGCTTAGGACCTCGGAATTGACTCTGGTTTTCCCATCAACCCCCACCCCCACCCCCCAGATGTGCCAAATTACTGCTGGAAATGGGAGCATCCGTGAACCTGGCCTCAAGGGAAAGTAAGGTCACACCCTTGCATGTGGCTGCTGGTCGGGGCTTGGAAGAACACGTAGCCTTGTACCTGCAGTATGGGGCTGATGTGGCCCTGCGTACAGGCCAAGGCGAGACTGCCCTCAACTCAGCCTGTGCTGGGGCTGAAGGGCCAGGACGACAGCACGAAGGGGTAGTCCAGCGGCTCCTGGAGGCAGGGGCAGATCCCCGGGCAGCAGGCCGAAAGCGCCACACCCCACTCCACAATGCCTGTGTCAATGGTTGTGAGCGTCTGGTGGAACTGCTGTTGCATCATGGGGCAAAGGCTGATGCTCCCAATGGGGCTGGACACACACCCATGGACTGTGCTCTACAGGCAGCTGAGGATGCCCCCGACAGGAAGCCTGAGGTCCTCATCTCTGCCCTGCTGGATTATGGGGCTCAGCCGATCCGCCCAGAGGTGATGGAAGACAAAGGAACAGGACAGTGTGGGGGTGGCAGGAGGCAAAGAAGGGAAGGCCAGGGCTGGGGGACATGGAGTATAAGGGTGTGGCTGGATTTTGACCTTTGGGGCCAGATGATGTTGTCAAGAAGAAAGTCAGTCAAAAAAAAAAAGTCAAGGAGAGGACAAAAGAGGAATGTCCTAGAGGTTTTATTACCTTGGTCCTGGTGATGGCTTGTCTTAGCTCCTCCTAGGCCTTTCCTAACTCCTAGTACTTGTTATGTGCCTAATTTGGGATGGAAATAAGGGGGTAGGAATTGAATTGTTTGGGGTCCAGGGGGTAAGGAATAGGGAAAGCAAGTGGAAGCTAGAAGGTTGGGAAACATGCCTTAGTGGAAAAATAAACTGATGCATGGGAAAGGGAAGGGGAAAGTCCTAATCATATCCTACATTCTCCCCACTTAGCCCCTCAAAATAAGGTGGGACTAGACTTAAGGAGATGTGATCTCACCTGGGTCTGGGGAAGGGGAAGATGAGTAGTGCTTCCTTCTAGGGTTCTGTCCTCTTCCTTTCCCTCTTCCCACAGATGTTGAAGCTGTGTGCTTCATCTCCACAAGGCCTGGAAGTCATGCTCAATGCCTACCCTTGTGTCCCACCTAGTGAAAACTGGGCTGAGGCTGTGCCTCCAGAGCTGTGGCAGGTATGTCTTGACAGTGTAGAGGCAGGGAGAAGAGCTAGCAAGTGGTTTTAGCCATGTAAGGCCTACTTGGAGGAGGGAGTTGGGGAGGTGTGTTGGAAAAGGAGGAGGAGGGCCTGCTCAGAAAGGATAAAGTATGAAGAACTGTCTCCATTAGAAGCATCCAGACTCTCATCCTAAGAGCCTAAACAGACCTTTCTTCCTCTCCTGTCCCTATCCTCCACCAATTCCCTAAATCAGTGCTTTCTTTTGTACCTGTTGCCCAGGTACATTTCATAAATCATCCAGGGCCCCTGAGAACCCATCTATCCTTCTAACCTAGACTGTTCCCTAATAGGACAGCTGTGAGGCAAGGATACTGAGTGAAGTAACTTTCTCTCCTGGCTTAGGAGCATGAAGCCTTCTACAACTCAGCCTTCCAAATGGCAAACCAGCCGCGGAGGCTGCAGCACCTGGCAAGACATGCCCTCCGGAGCTGCCTCAGGAATCGCTGTCGCCTTGTTGTATCGCAGCTTCCACTGCCCCCTGCCCTGAAGGACTACATGCTCCTTCGAATTGAGGGGACCATTCAGTGAGCTTGAGTTGGGGTAGGTGCTGGATGCCCAGGGCCTGTTTGTGGCTGTACTACCCACCCTTCTCACTGAGAAGGAGTTCTTGGAGAGCAGTGGTTTTTAGCCTTTTAAGCCCATGGGACCACTCAAATAGAGCAAAGGACATCATGGAAAACCTCCCCCTACCCCCACTTTAAAAAAAAAAAAAAGGCTACAATTAATGGGAAGGACCTCAACAGGAGTTTTTATTAAACGAGCAAATAACATATATGACAAACCTAAGTATGCATGTTGTCATAACAAATGTCACAAGAACAGGGGCACAGATTGCCTGGAGGATCCTCAACAATGACTATTTGTCAAGACAGAACCAGTACTGGTGGGCACCCAGTTCTGGAGGAGAAGCAGGGGATGGGAATCTCGGGGCTTCATTCTTCTGTCTCTTAAATGAAAAGGGCATTGCTTTGGGGTACCACTATATAGAAGCTAGAACCCAAAGTATTTCCTGCCCTCTGTCACCTCATGGATAGCAGCAGTTGACAAATGAGTGACCAGTGTCATTTACTCTTCAGTCTTGCTGCTCCCTTAGCCTCTTACGGTTCCTCCATCTTCCTTTTCCCTTGGGTCCCAATCAGGGAACATGGCTTGTAGCAGATGCCTCAGTTTCTGGACAAATACAGGAGATGGTTTAGCCTGGGACTTGAAATTCTACTCGTTTAAGTTCTTTGGAGAGAAGAGACTGCCTCAAAGGGAGTGGATGAAGAGAGATGGCATGATTGCCCATTTCCCCCTCCCGGCCAGACCTCCAAACTGCCTGCTAGCTTCCTCAAACTTCCTGCCATTCAAAGCAGCAGCTCCCAGAAGGCCTGTGCCTGGTCTCAGTGGGGAGACGGTGGGAGCTGGGCAAAGAGGAAAAGGTGAACAGACAGCAGGCACGTGGCAGGAAACTAGGCAGTCCCTGGCCCTAGATTCAAATCCTGGCTCTTACCTGTTAACTGGGCCCTCGGGAAAATTACTTCAAATATCAGGGTGAATGTTTGTTGAGTTTTAAAAGGGCCTCCGTTTGCCTATCGGTAAAATAAAGGGGTCGGGGTGCCCGACTATATGTTCTTTACTCCGGCCCCTTCAGCTCTTAATTCTCTAATCCTAATTACAGCTGTGCGACTCTGGGTAAATAAGTTCCCCTCAAGCGGCCTCAGTTTCCTCATCTGTAAAATGGGGGTTTGACAAGAGCAGTCTTTAAGGCCTTTCCAGCAGGCCTGACGGGGCTGAGGAGCCCAGGTCCGGCTCCCCGCGGCTCGCACCCAAACAAATCAAGGATGCCCTCTGCCCCGCCTCGCGGCACTGCCTATTGCTGCTGGCCGTGCCCCTCGGAGGCTCCCGCCCCCTTCCCTACGGGCCTCTGCCCGCAGCTTCCCCGGAAGTCGGCTTTTCAAATGGACTCTGCTACAGCGGCTGCCATCCGCGGCAACGGCAGCGGGGAGAGGGCGGAGGCGGGACTTCCCGTCTCGTGCCCAAGTAGCTTCCGTCGCGAGCCGGAAGACCCGGTCCTGAAAGGAATCAGGGGCTGCCGATGCCCCCCCGCCCCACCTCCCCCGGACGGGCAGGTGAGATCCGGGAGTGTCCCGGCACATCCAGGACGCCTGGACAGGTTAGGTGAGGGCCCTTGGGGAACTGCCGTCGGGTCGGCCCCCTTGCCCCGGTGCTGGGCGTTCCGCTCCCTTCTCCAGCCGGTACCCTCCATTTCCCAGGACCCCCCGCGGCCGCCCCTCGGCCCCTCCCTCCGAGCCCTGGCCCCGCCCCGAGCTTGCGGGGGTGGGGTTGCGGGGCGTGACCTCTGACCCCGCCCCGGGAGCATCCTCGGGTCTCAGAGGCAAAAGTTGGGTGAGGCCTGCGGCCTGAGCGTGGGCCCCTGCCCTGCCCAGCCCAATTCTCGGTGGAGCCAGGAGGGGCTGTCCCCGAACTGCCCCTTTGAGGGGGAACGGGACGGGTGGGCGAGGGAACCTTCTCCGAGGAGCCCTCCCCATCCAAACAGCAGTTCATCGAGCCCCTCCTTCGTGCCAGGTGCCGTACTGGGCCCCTGTTGGGGATGCCTGCCCTCGGGGAGCTTCCCCCAGTCCTGCTGGATGGCGGAGGGGGCGGTCTGCGTGTGTCCTTGGGGGAGAAGGATGTTGTCTTCTGTCCTGAGCCTGTAGTGAGGCCGGAGGGAAGAACTCCGGGGTCCCGTTCGGCTCAGCTTTCTAATGACGGACAGATAAGGAGACTAACCCCCGGGTAGGCGGGGTGCTATGGGGCGTCTCTGATACTCAGGGAACGGTTCCCTCCTCCAGCCTAGGAGTGGTCTGCCCTCACACTTCTCGTGGAGACAGTGACAACTTTCCTAAGTCTGCAGTGTCTTATGAGACCTTAAAACTGTGTGTCCCCAGCACTTTGGGGACAAAGGGGAAATGAAAGGTCAAGTTTGGGAACCTTTAGGTGTCAGCATTGCGTCCTTAAAGGACACCCTTGTTCATCAGAGGCGACTTAACTTAGTTCCTTTACCTTTCCTGGAGGCCACCTCCCCCTGCACAAGGACAGATCTGCCTACACCCTCAAAACAAATTTCAAAACACTGATCTATGAAGAGTGGCATGATCCAGGACCCAAAGAATGTTCTTCCCACCTCCATCTTAATAGCATTTAATACTGAGAGGTTTGGAATTAGAAAACAGACCCAAGAAGGGTTTGTGTTTCCTGGTATTTGGAAGTTTGAGGTTAGGTTTTATTCTTGGTTGTAGAGGATTCTCCCCTCCATAAGTACCAGAGTCCATTTTCCCTTGAGTTGGGACGGTTATGACAAAAGCAGGAGATCACAGTTGCCCTCTCCACGCCCCAGCTAATACTCTCCTCCTTGTGCCCCTGCAGCTCAGACCCAGTGAGAATTCCAGCCATGGAACCACCTGATACCACCCTCATTGAAGGCGTGGGCAATGAGGTGACAGTGGTGGTAGGTGTGGTGGTGCTGGTGTTGGCCCTCATACTGGCCTGGCTTTCCACCTACGTGGCAGATGCTGGCAGTAGCCAGCTCCTGGGCACCATTGTGGCAGCTGGTGACACCTCTGTGCTCCGTCTTGGTCACGTGGAACACCTGGTCGGGGGGCCAGGCACCTCGGAGCCAGCTGAGCCTGCCCATCTTGAAGAGGGTACTGAGGAGAAATCTGAGGAGGAAGGTGGGGGGGACTCAGCAGGTGAGCCTGGTGCTGGGGGCGGGGTTGAGCCAGGCCTGGACCACCTGCTTGACATACAGGGGCTGCCTAATCGGGCAGCTAGTGGTGAGGGCAGCAGTCCGGAAGCTTCCCTGAGGTCTGAGGGTAGCACCCACCTTCTGCCTAACCCTGGCCTCATCAACGTTCGGCTCAAATTCCTCAATGACACAGAGGAGCTGGCGGTGGCCAGGCCTGAGGACACCGTGGGCACCCTCAAGAGGTAAGCAAAGGAAGGTGGGTTCCTGACCCTTAGGTAGCAAGGCTGGCACAAGACTAGCACCCCTGAGAGGTTTCTGGGAACGTGCAATTAAGCTGTTCTCCCTTTATAAATTTGCCTTTTTTTGTCCCCCAGCTCTGTTCATCATTCTGACTTTCGTCTCCTGTTTTCATAGCAAATACTTTCCTGGGCAGGAGAGTCAGATGAAGCTGATTTACCAAGGCCGCCTACTGCAGGATCCAGCTCGAACCCTTCGCTCCCTAAACATCACTGACAACTGTGTGATCCACTGTCACCGATCACCGCCGGGGCCGACAGCCTCTGGCCCCTCCGCCCTGCCCACCTCTCCCACCACAGAGCCTCCAGGTCTCAGCGTCAGTGTGGGCAGCCTCATGGTGCCCGTGTTTGTGGTGCTGCTGGGTGTGGTCTGGTACTTTCGTATCAACTATCGACAGTTCTTCACAGCACCTGCCACTGTTTCTTTGGTAGGGGTCACTGTCTTCTTCAGCTTCCTGGTTTTTGGGATGTATGGACGATAGACGCCATGGGGGCGGGAAGAAGAGCCACGGTCTTCTTTCTCCTCCCTATTTCCCTGCCCAGAGTTGGGTGCCAAGGACCCCAGGGCCAGTGGTGGTCGGTGAAAGGGGTGTGGGCCCTCCATGGGAGGTAGGCATGTGGCCTCTTCCATGCCCTCAACTCTACCCCGAGCAGGGTGATCATGCCCCTTCCCCTGCCCATTAACAACTCTCAGGTAGAAATGAGGATTCCCCCCGCACCCCCCCCCACAGAGACACGCATACCCCTGATGCCAGTGTGAGTGATTGCCCTCCCTTTGGGTGGGCTCTGTGCTGATGGTCCCACTTGATAGAGGTGCAGGCTTAAGTGACCCTAGAATATAGAGGGGGCCCCTTGCCAGCTGCCACCATCTCTTTTGTGTGCCACCAGCTTTGCACACACTGGAGCCCCTGGCCTGCCTTCTTCCTGCATGGCCACTCTCATATTGGGCAGCCAGCTAGGGGAGCATAGCAGTATCCACAGCGTGCTTCTGCCAGGGGCAACAGAGCCCCTGTACCTAGTCATCAGCCAAACTGCCTCCTCTTGTTTCTGTGGTCAAGTCAATAGTTTCTTTATAAAATGACCAAATCTAGTCTGTTTCAAGAAGGGGTGAGCAGGGCCAAGGTACCTCCTTGGACCAGCTCTTCTCTTCAGCCCTTGGCCCCCCCGAGTAGTGAAAGGATGGTTCTCATGTTCTGGAATTTTCAAGGTTTTCCCCTTTTCTAGAGCACTTTGCTTGTGTACTTTTTTTTTTAACAAAGCCCTTTACAGTTGAGGCAGAACTCTGGGAGTCTGAGGCGAGACCCTAGGATCGAGAAGTGCAGGAATAGGGATAGGACTGCTACTGCCTCAAATCCAAGGCCAGGACACCGTGAAGAAATGTCTGCACTATCATGCCCTCTATGGTTGAAATAACTTTGCCCTTGTGGCATGGAGACTTCTGCCCCTGTGGCTCCTAACTCGATGGCCACTGTCTGTGATTGAATAAAGTTTTGCTTTTGTGGCCAGATTTGGTCACTCAAAGTTGCCTGTGAACTTTCATTCTGTTGACAAATGGGTCAATCTCCAGCCCTTCCCCTAGAGTGACTGTGGAGGATGAACAAGCGTAGTTAACAATAGGAAAATGCAATTTATTTACACCAGCAGCCATGGGGGATGGGGAATACACAGCGTTTACAAAGTTAGCTACCTGTACAAGATGGATTACATATGCAAAAATAAAATTTCAAAACCACAGGACAGCAACACCCCCTCCCTCCCAATGGCCCCAGCATGCATTAATGCCAGGCAGGTGGCCCCTGGGCATGCAGGGGGGGGAGTGATGCATGGAAGGAGAAAAGCCACCGGCCACAAAAAGAAAAAAAATTGATATAGAACCCCCACACACATACTTAAGACACATGATAGGCTACAGATGGACAATACATCTAGCTGGGAACTGGGGGAAGGATGGGAAGCAAAATCCACATAGCCTGTTACTAGAGAAAGGGAAGGGAGAGGCCTGGAAAGCTCCTAACCCAGCAGTTAAAGGGCAATAAGTCCTCTTTCCCCAAAGGGAAAGAAATTGTTCCCTAAAGATCCCAGCTAGGCCAGGCTCATCTCATATAGCCCAGCAGGGAGTGGGGCTGTGCCCTGAGAGGTGAATTGAAGTTGGGCAAGTTAACATTGGGAAATCTCCCAAAACTACTTCTAGCTCTCTTCAGACAGTAAGGGGAAGGTAGGAACCACCTGGGCCTCATATAGTAAAAGGAGCATCACTGGGCCCTGGGAGCTACAACTATCTCTCAGAAGGTGAGGGTTCCATGTGCGCCCCCCAGCAAACCCAACAGTTTGCCCTTTCCTCTCCAATACCAACCTGCTTCCAAGACATGGTTTGGAAGGGCTAAGGGGCACTGGGTTCCCTCCTATAAAGCGGGAGGGATATGGAAAATAAGGGACAAGAATTGCCCTGGGCCCAGCCTCTGCTCAACTCACACTAAGGTTTGGCTTTATTTCTTCCTTTAAAAAACAAAATTCTTGGGTTAAAAACCAATCAGTAACCAGGCCCAGCCAGGGAGTTGGAGATGGTAGGTAGGAATTGGGGGGCAGGGTGTGGAATCCCCAATCTGTTACTTCTGCTAGCTATCCAGGACCCACCCAGATCTGTTAATCCAGTCCTGAGTACTAATGCTAGTATCTAGTAGGCCAGATCAGCGATGGATTCCCCCATCCTGGGAGGAAAGGAAAGATATATGCCCTCCCCCAGTAAGGTTACTCAGGACATTGTCCATCTCAAGTCTAGTTTTCCCACCAACTTTCAAAACCAATAAGCATTCCAAATCCCCAGCCCTGGCAGATCTAGATGGTAGGATGGAAAGAGAAGGGAATACTTTCATCCCAACTTTGCAGGATGTAATGAGCAATATCTGGTCTAACACCACATCTCTTTCTCCTGTGGTACAAGCCTATGGGCACTCTTCACACCCACTATATAATATCAGGACTCTCCTCAGAGTGTCAGACTACAAGTCCAGAATAAATAACTTGGGGGGAAAAAAAGCTAAGAAGGAAAGGCAAGAGATGAACTAAAGCACATAGGAGTGAAAGAGGGCAGCAAGCAGCAGATAAGGAGCTGGGGAGTCCTATGAGGACAAAAGGGGAAGCAGGGGAACGTGGGGCCCCCTGAGGGCGAGGCTGGGCCCTTTCCCAGGGCAGGGGATGAGGTAAGAAAACATTTCAAATAAAGCAGCACCGTTCCCACTCACTTTGGGGCCCTGTCCTCCCAGGGTTCTGGGGTTTAGGGAAGAGGGAAAAGGAAAGTTCTGATAAGCAGTTTCCCTTCTTCCCCTCTCCCTTCCCATTCCCTGAAGCCAGAGGTTTCTTGCAGCCCCTCTTGGCTCTCCACAGAGGGGCAGCTCCCATGGCCTGGGTGGCCCTAAAATACTGAGGAGAAAGGTGGAGAGGGGAACCAGTCCGAACTGCCCCAAGAAGGAAATACTCTGTGCCTACCCACCCACTCCAGGAAGAGGGGTCACTGGACAGGACTCGGAAAACAGGCAGCAGAGCAACCCTCAGCCACAAGCACCAGACCCATTCACATTGCGAAAGGCAGACAGGGCTCTTTGGGGCTCAGTTCCCACTGCACAACCCCCTGGAGAGCCACAATGCGCCTTCCATGGGATTTCATTCAATCCCTGGGGTGAAAGGCAGGCAGTGTATGCACCCTAGCATGGTATCCAAGTCTGGCCCCCTCTCCTCTCAATCCCAGCTGGACATCCAGGAAATCACAGAATAAATAGAAAAACACTCTCCCCCAAAAAACTTGTTCAAGGCAGAGTATGTCCAGGTCTGAGTCCTGCACGCCTGAGGGTCGTGCACAGTCAATAGGGTCCTGCCATCACGCTGTGGTTCAAACCAGGGCCAAAGCTGGCATGACTCTCTCCATACTTCACAACCCCAAATCCCTGGCCTTTGATGAAGGCTGCCACCTGTCAACCAGAATTGGGGGGTAGGGGGAAGAGACCGGCCCAGATAAGGGAACACCCTCCAGCCTCTGGTCAGTTGATGTCATCATAGATGCTTGGTGTGGGGGGAGCAGGGGGCTTTGGCTTCTTCTTCTTGTTGGAGCTGAGGCCTGGAGCTGCCCCCACCAGACTCAGGTGGGGTTTCTTTTTCTTGGTCTTCCTTGATTCGGAGTTATTAGTGCCTGAGGTGGAAGGCACAGAGAATGAACCTGGGGAAGACTACTTGAAATTGCCCTGTTCTCTAATCTGTAGGGCAGACATGTCTACATTTCTACTCCCTTGGTTGGAAGAGCAACACTCAACCCTTTAGAGTTTTATTTTGGGCACAGGGAAACTAAGAATTCTTTACTGACCCCCACCCAGTTTCTCCCACCCCCAAGCCCGGTTCTCACTCGTCTTAGAAGAAGCAGAGTCAGAGGGTGAGAGATCAGAGGAGCCATCCCACTGTAGCCTGCTCATCAGGGCCTGGCTCTCAGCCACATCAAAGCCGTCGTTCTCCACAGAGCCCTCTGCCTCAGGCAAAGGGCTGGAGGTGAGAAGGATATTGGGGACACTGGTCATCACCTGAGGTCGCTCCCCACCCCCACCCTAATCCCAATGTCCCTTTAAAGTTACTGCTTACGCTGAGGGGCCCAGGAAATAAACACGCACAGCCCGTCTCTGCTCATCTGTGTGCTGGGGGCAGCGAAGGGACCTGTGAGGGAAATGTTGATGACAGCCCAAGTGTGGCCAGGAAACTCAGATGCCTACATTCTTTGGGCCCTCTGGACATGTCCTCCCTTGGTAAAGGAGGAAGGTTTGCATAGAAAGCTCTGATCCCCACACTGCACAACAAAGCATGAAGGCTGAAGCCTTCCCTACAATGGCAGAGTGTATCTAGTGTATCTGTGACTCCACACCAGAGGAGAGGGACTCATTCCCAGGGACATCTGAAACTCACAGCCCATCTCAAGGGTTAGGAGAGAAGATAATGCTATTTAGCTTGGCACTCCTTGGAAGGTAGAGGAGCAAGAGCTCCACCCCCCACCCCAGCCCTTGCTTACCTAGTGCACATCTTCTTTGTATGTTCAGAGATCACCCCACACTGCTACAAGAGGAATACAAAGCTGAGGTGAGGACAAAAAGACAAATCTACACTGTGTTATTAAATATTCCATCCTCCCTAAATTCCAGATCCCACATCTTAAAATGACGTAACTCCACCCCTTCTTCCTCCAACCCCCAAATCAGAACAGATGAAGCTACTAGCCAGACAGAACCATTGAGAGGGCTGTCCTGCCACCACCTTGATCTCCTCCACAATTTTTCTCTCCCTTCACACCTTCCCAGACCCAGATACCTCCCCTTCCTAGGGTCTCACTGTGGTAAGCAGGGTTCGAAGCTCCTCAGGACCTAGGGTTTCATAGTTGATTCCAGAAGAGTTGTTATACTGTGAAAAGATTAGAGAAGGTCAGTGACAGGGAAGATGGGAAAAAGGAGATGGGAAGAGTTAATGAGGCACTATTGGGCACATAACATCCCTGAAGTTGCAAGGTTTTATGATTGCAGTTTTTCAAGTGAATCTTTTAAGCTGCACATGAGAAGAAACCAGGTAGAAAGAGGTACCAAAACCACTCACTGCTTCTGGCTGTTAAAACATCATGGAATCTTCCCTAATAAAGAGGCAACACACTCCCAATCTTGGGCCAACCAAACCCATATGGAGAAAAATTCACTCCATCCAAGGATGAAAAAATGTAGAGGAACTATCAGAGATGGGACTGGCCCTACTCACCTTAAAAGGATCTGAATTGCTGCTAAGTTCCCCTGAAGAAGAAAAAAAAAAACAGAAGGGGGATTGGATGTAGAGGTACAGGTAGATGGGCCTACAAATAAACAGAGAGGATGTGGGGGTGACAGAAGGGTCACTGACTCTCCCAGGATGGGTTTCCTTAGTCTCTTATCCCCAGAGTCACAGGCGGAAGTCCTCCTTGGCCCCACTTACCATTTTTGTGTTTTAATGACTTGGACCTTCGAGGGGAGTTGGGGTTCTGGAAAGAGAGAAAAGGGTTAGGGTATAGTGGAGCAAAGAAGAAGGAAAGGCAAAGGAGGCTGACATAAGAACATCTCAAGTCCCCACTCCACTCCCCTCCTCCTCTCTCCCCCTTCTCTCTCTGCCCTAGTACTCAGCTACCTTGCTTCCAGGTCAACCAAAGACAGCCTTAACCTGAAGCCCACAAAGGCTCCCTGAAGGCCCAGAGGGAAGCGTTATCTTCTCTGTACACCCCCCACTCCACTATTTTTCTGTCTACCCATCTCTCACCTTGTCTGATTTTCTCTTCTTTGCTATGAGGAGAAAAGGAAGATGATTGCAATTACCTGAAGTTTCCAAATCTAATGCCCCACAAGGAAAAGTATCATATCCCCACAACAGAAGCATGAACCAAGCACTGCCCCCCTGCACCCTGCCCCAAGATTTCCCCAGCAGATCCACATTACCTTTCTTCTCCGAGCCATAGAACCAGTCGTTGTCATTGATATCATCATTGTCTTCCTGGTCACTCTCAGACTTGTTCATGTTGTTGCTACTGGCGATCCTGTCCAGAGGAGATGGGAGGTGGTTACGGGGACATCTTCATGACCCCCCTCTACCCGAGAGCTTCCCTGGGGCCTCTTCCTCTGCTCATCATGGTGCCTGCCCCTTACCGACGGTTGGCAATGCGACTGCTATTCCGGCCCATGCCCAGACACTTCTCCAGGTGGGGAGCAAATCGGGAGGCAGCGATGCTGCGGCTGCAGTTGGGGCAAACACATTCCTTGTTCTTCCACTGATTGTACACTTGCCCAAAGATATCCACTCCAGGCTGGTCTACAATCTCTGGGGAGGTGAGGGTCACAGAGATTAGGGTAAGAAGAATCCTTTAGACACCTTCAGTAAACAGTCCCAATTTCACACACAAGTCCCCCCTGAGCTATGACATGCAACGGCTCATGGACAGGGACAGACACACAGGACTGGGGGAGAAAGGAAAGGTCTGCTGTTCCTACTAAGGAAGGCTCTGAAGGCCACGACTAACCACTAAAGGGCTTAGCAATCATGGTAGAGATGGCACAGGCAGGAAAGGGATACCAATTCTGGGCCAGGACCATGACAAAAAATACATTCCCACCTGCACATCTCTAATCTGTTTACCTGCCTCCTGCACCCCCCCCCCCCCCCCCCCCAAGCCAGGAAAGTCAAGGCTGTTTTTTAAAGGATTAGGTCTTTTCAATTCCCATTCACTTCCTAGGCCAGGCAGAGTTAGTTCATAAGATCCAGCCCCATACCACAATTAACCTTAAGAACCCCAAGCCACAAAGCAGGGAAAACTACTCTTCCCCAAGGTCAAGGTTCATAGTTTATAGAGCCAGAAAGTAAGCCACTAGGACAGAATAGTATTGTTCCACCATCTGAATCTCACCAAAGTCCTTCATGCTGTCAGGGTCTGTGTCATCCAAGAAGAAGTAGCCACACTTAACAGCTCGGTGCACCTCAAAGCAGAGTCCCAGACAAGCATCTTCCACCAGGTCTGTATAAATCTCATGAGCGATGGCCTGAGCCCCACAAAAGAACAAGAGTGGTTGCAGGGGCTCCTGTTATTTGTGCCTTATTCCCTAATGCTACCTACAACTGCTTCACATCCAGGCACAAGAGGCCCATCCCCCATCTTGAATTCCTGTTCTTTTTGCTAGTTCTCACGGCTTTCAGTTATTCCTTCCCCCAAAGAGGAGGTTATCCCAAATTCCTAGAGCCTAAGGTTGAGAGCTGAAAGAGACTTCAGAGATCATCTAGTCTACCCTTAGAACACTTAATTCAACCTCCTCATTTTTCAGAGAGAAAAACTTAGTTTGAAAGTTGATGTGACCTGCCCAAGGTCACACAAGTAGAAAATGGCAAATGCAGGATTTGAACCCAAGCCTTTTCGAACTCCCAAATCCTTCGGTGCTCCTTCTACCATATCACCATGCCCAGTGGTTTCTCTTTGCTGCTGATATTGAATTTAGGTGCCCAAGAGGACAAAGATGATAGAGAAACAGGTGGGAGAGTCCTCACCTCCAGCTTGCTGTTATCCAGGCCAGACAAAGACATTTCCTCCATTTTCATTTGCAAACTCTCGTGGAGAAGACGTTCTGACTGCTCATAGCACAGCAGGCGGCAACACAGCTGGACACATTGAGGGTTGGGGGAGGGAGGGTAGCTTAAATCCAGAGAACCTCTACTAGGTCTTGTCCCTCACCCCCAGCTCCCTTCTCCTTCCACAATTTACTGAACCCTGGGTCTTCCACCTTGTTTAAGAATATTCCTCCAGAGGCTGAAAATCTTAAGCCATTTCAACTCTTCCTAAAGGCGGTGGTATGGAGTGGGGAGGAGAAAATTATACAGATTCCCAAGTGTAACCCTTTCCACCAACATACACACATCTCATTCCCTGAGTGACTTCTGCTTTGCCATGATGGCCACAGAAAGCCTGGAGCCATGCCACTTTAGTAACTCCCTGTCCTAGACTTTTGCTGAATTCTCACAGAAATTTAGAGAGATAAGGTATCTTAAGGATTATCTAGTCCAACCATTTCACTTTACAAATTAAGAAATCGAGGCCCAGAATAGTTAAATGACTTAACCAAAGTCATAGTAACTGGTAGGACCCTGGGTCTCTCCTCATGAAATAAAACCAAAACCAAACCAAAGCAATGAAGCTAACCTTATAAAAAGGCTAAGTTAAAGGAACGTAGAACAGTGCCGGATTTTTGCATTACAGTCCAGAGCAATGGATTTTGAATCACAGAACCAGGGTTTTAATCTTGGCTCCATCACTTAACACCTGTGACCTTGGGCAAATTACTTAACCTACTAACCTTAGGGCCTCCCTTTCCTTATCAATAAAGTGTGAAGGGTGGAACTGAGGAGTTCTTAAATTCTTTCCAATTCTAGATCTATAATTCAGCACTGATTCCTAGGATTTGGAGCTGGTAACTGGAAGGAAGACACCCTCCCACCCCCAAGCAATCCTATGCCCAAAGAGGACAGCATGATAGAAAGCAATAACCTATTTCACTGGTTCTCTCCTCCCAAATGTAGTCTCTAGAGGTGTCAAGGAGGGCCCCCTCCCTTTAGGGCTGAGAATACCCCTGGGCTTGTGAATGGTGGTGGTGGATTTGGGTTTTTGCTTTGGTTTTTTTTTTTTTCTTTTAAGAACGTATGAGAACATGGCACTAAGGTTGGGGGACTTTAATTTTTCTCTGCCACCCCCCAGGAATACTGCATTGATGCTGCATCATACCGGCGGGGGGGGGGGGGGGGGAGGGGAGGAGCCCAGGCCACACCGATCCCCATCACTACTCAGTCCAGGGGAGAAACAAGGTGCTGCCCCACGACCCCCAACTTCCCAGGCCAGAGCAGCCTCCCTGCCCTGCCCTACAGGAAGGGGTCCACAAGGAGGGGTGCTCCGGGTAGCTATTGTCCTGGCCCTTCAGGGCAACCTGGTCTTCCCTCCCAAACAAAGAGCAAGCAGACCCTTCCTTAGCCCCGGGGTCCTCCCCCACCCCAGGACAAGCGCCCGGGAGGGGGGTGTGGGGGGAACGAGGGCACGCCACACCCCGGGACCGAGAAACACCCACTGCTTCCGGGACTTGGGGGAGGGGCGGGGAAGAGAACGCGGGCCCGGCTGCGGCAGGTCAGAGGGTGCGAGGGTTAAGGGTCAGGGGGCGGAGGCACGGGACCCCAGGCCCCTCCCCTCCCCCTCACTCACCCCGCCCGGGGGGCTGCGCCGGGGCCCCGGGGCCTCTCAGAGCCGTGTCCTCCGGCGGCGGCGACGGCGGCGGCTGCTGCTGCTGCTGCTGCTGCTACTCCTCCGGGGACCCATGTCCGTCCGTCCGTCCGCCCGCCCTCGCCTCGCCTCCCGGAGCCGGGGGTCGAGCTGCCCCCTCCCCCCCCCCCCCCCCGCCGGCCGGCCCCGCCCCCCCCCTCCCCCCCCCCCCCCCCCCCCCGCCCCCCCCCCGCCCCAGGACGATCCAGCCCGCCTCTCCCGGGCGGGGGGCGCGGCGCGAGGAGACCAGAGCGCGCGCGCGAGGTAAGCCGGGCGCGCGCGCCACCCCGCCCCGCGCTCGGCCTCCCCGCAGCGGCTTCGACCCTCGGGCCCCTCCCCTTCTCCCGCTGTCCCCTCCCTCACTTCCTGTCCGCCTGCTCTCCCTTCCGCGCGCGCAGCGGCTGCTGTAGCTAGCGGGGTCCCGGCGCGTGCATCTGCCCCGCGGGCCGCCGCTCAGCAACATTGGCTATTGGGGGTGGGGATGGGGCGGGAGAGGCGGAGGGAGCCGAGCGGAAAGGAGGGGCGCCACGCCGCGGCCGAACGTCCCGACGGCAGCACTTCCCCAGAGAGCGTGGAGAGGGGGCGGGGCCTCGATTGTCCTCTCATCGCCAATGGGAAGCACGCATCCCTGCCGGCGGGCCAATAGAGCCCCACGGGGCGGAAGCGGTGTTTAAAGCGGCAGTGCGCGGCTCAGGGGGAGGTGGATACTTTGTTGCAATCTCGGCTGGCTGAGTGGGCGGGGAGCGAGTGGCGTTGAACTCGGGCGCCCTCTCCCCCCGCCCTGGGGATGCCTCTGGACCCGCAGTCCCCGCCCTTTTCCCGGGGAAGCTCCGCCTCTCGCATTGCAGGCGGAGTGTTCTGGGGAATGTGGCCTCGTGAATGCCGCTGGCTTTTGCTGACTGAGGCTTTCTCTGTGCCGCGAGGAGGGTCCGTAGACTCCCAGCTGTAAAGGCCAGGAGCTGCCCCTTGAACCATCCTCCTCCAGCCCACAAAGTGCCTTCTAGCCTCCCCGCCCCTGTACCAAGGATGCCACCTCTTCCTTCTGATCTTCCCTCCATCTATTTGTGGCACCCAGTCGAACTCCTTGTCCTAGTTCTCTAGCGATGGCCAAGCCATTCTTAGTCTTTTTATTTAAAAAATTTAAATTATTATTTTAATAATTAAATTTTCACATACAAATGTATCTTCTCCCCACCTCACACCTGCCCTCATTGGGAAAAAAGAAATGAAAAAGCCCTTATAACAAATGCATAGTCAAGCAAAACAAATTCTCCTACAGGTCATTTCCAAAAACTATATGTTGTAATCTGCCTCCTGATTCCATCACCACTCTCTTAGGAAGTGGATATGATGGGGTTGGGATCTGGACCACAAAAAGGAAAAACCCTGGACTTTCCCACATGACCAAATCGCTGGCTTCACCTGAGGCTATAATCCCATCAACTGGTCTTTCATTGTGGCTACACCCAATCTCCTAATTCTGTTACCTCCTGGCCATTTCCCACCCTTAATCCTAGCTAGGCTCCATTCTCCCTTGGGCATGTGGTCCAGGTCCCAATCACATTCCCGAGACTGCTTGGCTACTCCTAGATCTCTCCCACAGTCTTTCTGTATGTAAGGTCCATCTTGTCTCCATTAAGATGCTCAGATTCTTAAAATCTAGCCAATAGCTTGCTAATGTTCAAACTCCTTAAGATACTGCCCAATATGGTGGATGTTCTAATAAACCTTGTCTTTGGCTGAAAGAAGGTTTGGGTCAAATTCATTCAAGCAGGACCCACGTATTGTGATTTTGGGGTCCTAGCACCCCTTAACTCCTAAACCTCAACAGGTAGCATGTTTCAGCTTGGGTCCTCTGGAATCATGGTTGGCCATTGTGTTGTTCAGAGTTCTTAAGTCTTTGAAAGTTCTTTGTCTTTAAATTTGTTTAATTTTTTTTAAATTAGAGATCTATTTTCTTTCCTTCCCACTTCACCTCCACAAAAAAAAAGAAAAGAAAAAAAAATAAAGCCCTTCAAACAAATATGTATAGTCAAGCAAAACATTCTCATACTGTCCATGTTAAAAAAAAATGTGTTTCAATCTGCATCCTGAATCCATCATCACTCTCTCAGAAGATGGGTAGCATGTTTCATGTTGGGTCCTCTGGAGATGTGGCTGGTGATTTCATTGATCAGAGTTCTTAAGTCTCTCAAGTTTGTCTTTACAATGTTGTTGTTAATTGTATAAATTGCTCTCCTGGTTCTGCTCATTTCACTCAGCATCAGTTCATGTAAGTTTTCTCACAAGTTTTTCTGATAGCCTCCTTTTCACCATTTTATTCAGAACAATAAAAATTCCATTACATTCATACACCATAATTTGTTCAACCATTCTTCAACTGAAGGTCACTCCCTTAGATTCCAGTTCTTCTCAGCCACAAAAGAAAAAAAAAGGTGCTCTAAATATATTTGCATGTGGGTCCTTTTTCTTTGATCTTTTTGTGATATAGCCTAGGTATTTCTAAATTAAAGGATCTATAATACTGTAGGCCTAGTTGTAGCAAATGCAAAGTGGGAGCAAAGTTCCAAAACTACTTTCTAGAATGATTGAACCAATTCATAGCAATAATGTGTTTGGTTTTGTTTCCCCACAACCCCTTGAACATTTGTTATTTTCCTTTTATGTCAGCTTTGCCAGTCTTAGTCTTTCATCAGTGAACTCAAGACGGGTTCTTCTTCTCCAGCCCCAAACCCAATCTTCATACTTGGGGAGTTCAAGATAAATGACAATGTCTCCTGGAACACCTAGAGCTCACACAGTTTGAGTGCTTCAGCTTCCATGACCTCCATCTTTTCTTCTCTTCAGTTGCCTAGGAGTGCTCAGATAATCAGATCATTACCTGTAATGTAATTATTCCATGTCCTGCATCCAATTCTCTGAATTCCTATCTCCACTACCTAGCCCTTCTCTTATCCCCATGGTAGCTTCCAATCCTGCTATCCCTCCCTGTTTTCTTCCCTGTCCTCCTCTCCATGTCTTCATGGCCTTGACCAGTTCAACCACTTACTTTTAGCTACCCTTAGACCCCTTACTCTCTTGTCCTGTCACCTGGTAGCTGTGATAGGGTATGGGCCCAAGCTGAGACCTTTGCCCCTTACCCCAAAAAGAATTTGGATCTCTATTTTTGCCCCTTACCCCAAAAAGAATTTGTCTGTGGGCCCTAGAAAACCCTTGAACTGTCCTTGAATTCTCTTACTTGATAAAGGAAGCCTCAGAAGGTATAATCCCATCAACTGGATTTTCCTACACCCAATCTCCCAATTCTCTGTTCCTAGCCCTCCGTTGTCTTACCTCCCTGTGGCCACTTCCCACCCTTAATCCTGTCTAGGCTCCATTCTCCCTTGGGCATGTGGTCCAGGTCCCAATCACATTCCCCAAGACTACTTGGCCACTCCTAGATCTCTCCCACAGTCTGTATGTAAGGTCCATCTTGTCTGCATTAAGGTGCTCAGATTCTTAAAATCTAGCCAACAGCTTGCTAATGTTCAGACTCTTTAAGAGACTGCCCAATATGGTGGATGCTCTAATAAACCTTGTCTTTGGCTGAAAGAAGGCTTGGGTCGAATTCTTTCAGGCAGGACCCACGTGTTGTGATTTTGGAGTCCCAGCACCTCTAAGCCCCTAAACCTCAACATCTATACTTTGCCAAACTCCTAGGTTACTACCACCATTTGCTTTCTCTCTTCCTGCTTATGTGTCACAGAAGTCTTTTTGGGAAAGTCAGACAACTTGAATAAAATCAATGTAGCTGGAATTAGAGGAGAAGCAGTTCATTGGGAAAAATATCGTTGCAACAAATATCTATAATAAAGGCATCTAAGATTTAAATATATAAGATTGGATCTGATATACAAGATTGAAATATATAAGAAGAGTCAGTTGCCAATAGATAAATAATCTGAAGAGGCAGTTTTCTTTATTTTTGACTTAGAGAAGATATCTTTTTTTAAATCACTTTCACTTCCCAATACATTTCTCCCCTTTCCCTACAAAAAAACCATCTTTTATATGACAGGGGACTGACCAATGAGAGCCCAGCTTGGGAACACGTGCAGTCTTCTTTGCCTAGTATAATCCACATGCATAATAGAGTGTCCTGCTCCCTATTTCAGAGCATGCCCAGGTTTTCTATAACTGCTTCCCGTCTGATTACTATGTGGTGAAGAGAAGGCTTTTTGACTGACTGCTGAGCCAGAACAAAAATCTGCTACGCATGCAAAAGGCACTAACTAGCCAAATGGACTTACCTCCCTTTCCCAGGCTGGTTAAAGTCAGTCACTCCAATAAAATGTTGGGGATACAAAGAAAGGCAAAAGGCAGGACCTGCCGTCTAGGAGCTCACAGTCTAATGGGAGAGATAAGCAAACAAATGTGCAAAAATAAGCTATATGTGGGATAAATAGGAAATAACCAACAGAGGGAAGGTAGTAGAATTAAGAGAAATTGGAAAAGGCTTCCTTTAGAGAGTGAGGAGCAGGAACTGCTGGGGCCTCAAGGTAGAAGGGGGGGCCCTCACCTAGTTGCCAGGAAGCCAATGGGGCATGGCCCAGCGATTTTGATGTCCGTATTGTTGTTCAATCTTTGTGACCCCATTTGGGGTTTTTTTTGGCAAAGATACTGGAGTGGTTTGCCATTTCCTTTGACAGCTCATTTTGCAGATGAGGAAACTGAGGCAAACAGGGTTAAGTGACTTGCCTAGGGTCACCCAGCTAATAAGTGTCTGGGGCCAGATTTGAACTCAGGAAGAGGAGTCTTTAGTCAGCTACTAAGTATCTGAGGTCAAATTTAAACTCAGGCCCAGTGCTCTATCCATTGCACCATCTAGCTGCTCCCAAGATAAGAATGGTATAGTGGAAAGAACCCTGTCTCTGAAGTCCAAGGACATGGGTTGAAATCCCTCCCCCGATACCCCTTATATGATCTTGAACATGTTATTTAACCTCCCTAGGCCTCAGTAAAGTGAGAGGGAAAGGTGGAGCCTTTCATTTCTAGATATATGACCTATACATATAAAAATACTGATAGTACTTCTTGTAGTAGCAAACATTTGGAAGGAAAGGGAATGCCCATTGGCTGGGAGAATGACTGAAAATGTTTATATATGAATGAGATAAAATTGTGCCTTATGAAATTATCTCTGAATATGAAGAATTCAGAGAAACTTGGGAAAACTTATATGAATCAATTTAAAGCAAAGAAATCAGAACTAGAATAACAACTTATATAATGACCACAATTATGTAAAGGAAAATAACTTTGAAAGACTTTACAACTCTGGTCAATGCGGTGACCAATTATAATCTCGTGAAGCTAGAGCCTACCACTGTACCACCTAGCTGCCCCAGAAGGGGCCATAGTCATTTAATCCAATTGATTTTATTTTACAGAGAAAGAGGAAACTGAGGCTTCTTGAGGAAATGACATATGCAAGACTTCAGGCAGTAAGTTTCAGAGCTTAACCGAGGTTCTTTGACTCCAAATGTAGTATTCTTTCTTCTGATCCACACTGTCTTCTCCATTATTCTGTACCTCAAATCCCCTCTTATTATTCTCTCATTGTCTCCTCTTTTGCTTCATTCTTTGACAAAAAGGTAGGGGCCTTCTCCATACCAAGACCAACTTCTCTACCTGTACTGTGGCAGCTGGTGATGAAGTGGTAGAGCGAGCACTGGGGTCTGGAGTCAGGAAGACCTAAGTTCAAATTCAGCCTCAAATGCTTACTGACCCTGGCCAAGTCACTTAACCTCTGTTTACTTCTGTTTCCTCATCTGTGAAATGGGGATGACAAGAATAGCATCTGCTTCACAGTTGTTGTGAGGATCAGATGAGATAATATTTGTGAAATGGTGCCTAGCACATAGTAGGTGTTTAATAAATGATTATTCTCTTCGCTTTCCGCTATTGATACCATCTCTTCCCAAAGCTTGCCCCCTCAATGATTCCCTTCCCACCCCCTCCCTCCATCTCCAATCTCTCCATATGCATTAATTCTTTCCTTTACACCTATAAATATTTCCAGGTTTCCCTTCTTTTGATACAATCGTTCCTTCATGTTAAAATCGGCGTGGAATACCATGGAAAGAGCACTGGCCCAGGAGTTAAAAGGTGTGGTTATAAGTCTTAGTTTTGCCACTTATTACCTGTGTGAACTTGGGTATGCTTGTTAGCCTCTTTGGGCCTCAGTTTCCCCATCTGTAAAATGAGGGGGGCGGGACTCCATGGAGTCTGAATTCCTTCTCAGTTCTAAATCTATGATCCCATAATCCAGGGAAAGGTTGTTTACATTGTTGCCTACCTCACTTCCCACCTGATAACTCTCTGCAAACTGGCTTCCAACCCCAAGGTGGACAGTGATCTCTTCGCTGTTGAATCCAAATTTTCTCATTCCTCGTTCTTTCTGCAGCTTTTGACAGCCAACCACTCTTTCTTCTTGGATTTTCTCTCCTCCCTTACCTTCTGTGATGGTACTCTCTTGGTCTCTTTTGCCAGATCATTATCATCCTCTGAGGTGTGAGCATCCCCTTAGCCTCTGTGTCAGTCTTTCTGTCTCTGTGTGTGTGTCTCTCTCTCTCTCTCCCTGTTTTTCTTTGTCTCTCTCTCTTCCTCCTCAGAGATTCATAGATCCCTATATCCAGTATTAATCTCTCTCTTGAATTTCAATACCATATTACCAACTGCCTGGTCGACATCGCCACCTAGATGTCCTTGTAAACATATCAAACTTAACGTGTTTAAAACACAAGTCATTATATTTTCCCCCAAACCCATCCTTCCTTCAGGTTTGCCCATTTTTATAAAGGCACCATCACTGTTCTAGTCACCCAGGCCTGCAGTCTTGGTGTCATCTTCAATTCAACCCTCCTTCAGCCTCTGTCCCTAATCAGTTGCCAAATCTTCTTGACTCTGTTTCCATACTAGCTCTTGCATTTATCCTTTTTTCTCCATTTACATAGCTTGCACCCTAGTTCAGACCCTCATCACCTCAGGCCTGGACTATTGTAATAGCTTCCTAATAGTAATTCCCTGATTCAAGTCTCTCACCTCCCTAATCTGTCCATTTGTCCATTATCCATAGCTGGCAAATGGATATTCCTAAAACAAATGTGGTGGGTGTTGCTACAACAGCATTTCATTTCTGTCTGTTTCTCTGTCTCTGCCCCTCTTTCTGGGGCAGAATGGAGGCTTCTTAAAGAATGTTTTATCTTTGGCGTTGTGTGCCTAGTGCTTAGAACACTTGTTCAGTCATATCCTACTCTTCATGACCTCATTTGGGGTTTTCTTGGCAAAGAGACTGGAGTGGTTTGCCATTTCCTTCTCTGGCTCATTTTACAGATGAGGAAACTGAGGAATGCAAGGTTAAGTGATTTGTCGAGGCCTCACACAGCTACTGAGGCCGGATTTGAACTCAGGAAAAGTCTTCCTGACTCTAGGCCTATCACAGCATAGGTGCTTAATGAATGTTTTACTATGATTTGAATTGATAGGAGCTAGGCACACCTAGGCTACTATGCAGCTTCAGACACTTAGTAGCTTTGTGATCCTGGACTAGTCACTTAATCTCTGCCTCAGTTTCCTCAACTGTAAAATAGGGATAATAATAGCACCTACTTCTCAAGGTTGTGGTGAGGACCAAATGAGATAATTTGCAAACAAGCATTATATAAATGTGAGCTATCCTCCTCCTCCTTACCACTAGCTCCCCACGGTGCTTTATTTATATTCTCTGATCTGGAACCTCCACCAGCTTTCTAGCCCTACCTCTCTGGTGGCAACCGCAGTTGACACTCTGGCTTGCTCCTCTTTGTGGGCCAGGCCAGAACAGTGTGGGACAAGCTGATGGGGCACACAGCTACAGTGCCAGCCACTAAGTGGAGTTTTCAGAAATTGGCAAATAAGCTAGAGAGGTATGATGTAATGCCGAAGGTCCCCACCTTTTTTCAGGCCTTGCATCTCTTGACTTTCAGCACATCTTCCTGTACCCCCCTATGGGCTTGGACTTGGTCATCTTTTAGGGGTCCCTTCCAGCTCTAAATCTCATCCATCTTCCCTTGCGCAAAAAGTGAATGGGATTCTTGAGCCTGCTGCTAGCCCACCCCATTAGTCTTGAGTGCTATGGATGCAGCAGAGCCTATGAGAGAACACTGCATTTAGCAGTCAGCAGACACCTGGGTTCAGGGCTCACTTTGGACCCCTGTTAGCTATATGACCATGGGTTTAACTTTCAGCAGCTTATTTCTTCATCCACAAAATGGGGATGACACCTAGAATACCTGCCTCACAAGGTGGTAGTGAGGGTCAAAGAGGAGAATGACTTAAAATGCTTTACAAATGTTTACTCATTTATAGAGTTGTTATTATTTAATGGAGGGGCAAACTGTTTCCACTGCCCTCCGCCCCCCCATCCCCACCCCAGGCAGCTCTACCTAGTTCAGCCTGGGAGGTTGGTGGGTCTGAACTAAAGGATGGCTGGCCATGAGTGCAAAGACTCTTGGGATACCCTTGCAGAGGATCTAGCCATTGGCTGTTCAATATCAAGAACCCAGAGCCTCAAGAGCTGAGTGTTACAGAAAGCCCAGGTTAAGGGATTAAGGATCCTGGAATTCCATTTGAACTCCCACTTTGATTCTGTTTCAAATACCCACTAAAGCAATGATCCCATATGGTCAGGGAGTAGGATATTCTCCATTAGTTAATTTTTCAGATAACTGAGTCTTATCATTTCAAACAGCACAAAACAGGTTTTATTTTAGCGATTTAAAAAAATAGAACTCCAAGACCTTAGTTCGAATTCTGTCCTGGGTTGCTTAACCTGTCTCCCTGTTTCCTCATCTATAAAATGGGGATAATAGCATCTACCTTCCAGGATTGTTATGGGATAACCTGAGATCTGTGCATTCTTGATTATTTTGATGACTATTTTAGTGTAACTGGTTTCCTTTGTAATCCTGTCTTAAAATTTAAAATCATTATTCCAAGAAGGGGTTTCACTAGCCCAAGGAATCCTTGAACTGGAGGAAAATCTTTGTATTTTCAGTATTTAGCACAATACTCTACATAGTGCAAAGTCACCACCTTCCCTCACTTAAATCCAATTCACTTGCATGCCATGGCATCACCTCCCTGATGTCATGGTCCTCTACCAGAATGAAGGACAAACAACTGTACATAAGAAGTAATTAGGAAAAACCATCTTTAAGATGGAAGGGGTGTGTGTGGAAAAGCCTTTACCTGCTCAGAAGCTGTATTTCCCTTCATCAGATTTGAGTTGGGCTGTTACTAGGTATAGAGAAACCACTGATCCTGGGAAGAAACCACTAGTAGGTGGGAAGTTAGTTGGAAACCTAGAAACAGGTACTTCCCCATATCAGATGGATTATAGAGTGAAACCACCCTTTCCCAATTACCATTCCCAACCTTCCTCTTTTCTTTTCACCACCATCCAATTTCCCCAGGTCTTCACCCTCATCCTGGTACCATGCAGTATTTTTTTTCTTCCCTTCTTCACAAGTTTACTCCTGAGAAACCCAATGGGAGCATCTAGCAAGTGCGTGTCTGATGGTAGACAATTAAGACCTTAATTGAAGGTGGACAGCCTAAGAGGGCTTGGTAGGACCAAACTGCCTGCAAGTAACTGAAGGCTGTGGACTTTGCTTGAGGGTGGGATCTAAACTCAGGGGAATCTCATCCCAACCACACTTGCACACTCTGCTGGGGAAGAGAGAATTGGATATGTAACTACAGGCCAGGGCAAAATCACCTCAAAGTCATTGCATTCTGAATTTCTTCTTTCACCAATACCACTCTGTCCCTAAGCCACTCCCAGTGATGAGACATCAGCCAAACCTTTTTTCACTTTATTATACAAAAAAAGGGGGGAGGGGGGGAACAAAACTTCCAAAGTTGCCGCAGCCAGACATCTCTAGCCATCCCACCCTCACCCCCCCCCTTCCCAGTGATAGAAATCCAAGTTGTGGCCATAGTTGTTGAAACCTACAAAACACTCTTTAAATATTAGAAAAAAAAGGGGGGGGGCCTCCATAACCCTCCCTTAGGCTCTCCCCTCAAAAAGAAAAAAAACAAAAAACAAAAACCCACCCTACCAACTTGTCCCAGTGCCAAAATGCACTTAGTGTGACCTCTTACAGTACCAACACCCCCCACCCACCCATCTTCGATCTTGTCTGCACTGTAAGAATTTTTCAATATGGGGGAAAAAAGTCCCAGGTTTGGTTTTTTTTGTTTGTTTGTTTTTTTATACTAAAACATAGTCCACTTGAAACACAACAGTGGTAGGGCCAGTCAACTAAGGGCAGGAAGTGGGATTGATTTCTTGCTGGGTGTCGGGATGGAGAGAGACAGGCAAACACAGTCAAGTAGCAAACATATGAACCCCTCCACCATCTCCAGGTGTAGGACAAAGGGATGGGAGAGAACACCCTCCCCCAAATTCACCCCATAAGCATCTGTGTTTTCCTGAGGTCAGGGCATAGATTGTCTGGCTACCTTGGGGAAAGCCTACCAGTCACTCAACTGGGTCTGTCCGTCAAGGTTTCTCCTCTTCCCACCCAGCATCAATTTCCAGTTTCCTTCTGCCCCTTAGTTTTCCCATCATGGAAGATAAAATTAAATGGAAAGCCTAAATAAGTCACTGACATGATTGTTGTTTTTTTAAATCCAAATTTAGTTAAACATCTAAAAAATGATATTCACAGAAATAAATCCAAAGTAGGTTGGGGGTGTCAGGTAGGCTAAGGAATTGGGGGGAGGTCAGCTGCATCCAGCAGCCTTTAGCAAAATGAAACATTTCAATGAAAACTAGGCTGCCTCGGTGGACGTAAGGGCCCAGCCTGAGGAATGAGTGAAGGCTGAAATATGCATGTGAGAAGTTCTCAATCCACCCCTAGACTCTCAGATCCTGAGGTCTCTACTCCTCATCCTAGCTAACCAGAACCAAGTCTGCAGCTCCTCCCTAGAAACAAAACTCCCTAGGGCCTAAGATACCCCCCAACCTCATGCCACCTAGGTCAGAGAATCATTACCCCCCCCCAAAAAAAGAAACCAAAACCCCACACATACATACACACACACACACACATACAAAACTAAGGGAATAAGGGAGTCACTCCATACAGCTTTCCTGTCTCTGCCTCCACACCATACCCCCCCCCCCCCCCCCCCCCACCCCTGCCCCACAAAGCGTCTACCAGGCAAGAATTTGGAATTTGTCAGACTGGGGACCTGCCTCTTTCCCTTGGGGGCACGGTAGGATAGACAAGACAGGGGAGCCTCCAATCTGTTTCCCATTTCCCTTCTTTCTACCTTAATTAAAGGCCCAAGGAGTCAGGCCTCATTTCTTTCTATCTCTCTCACACAAACACACACCCACACACAAACACACGCACAGGCACACATGCTATATACAGGCCACAGTCACACTTCCACACTCAAGACAATTTTTAAAAAATGACACCCCCCCAGTACCCCCTAACCCCCCAAACGACAGAACAGACAGACAGTAGCGGAGATCGGTAGGAAACATCTCGTTGACAGCTCAGAGCTTAAAAAAAATTATATACACATATATAAAAAAGACTGCTGCCCTGAGGGGCAGGGGGAACGCCTTCCTGCAAGGGGGTTAGCCAGGGCAGGAGGACTTGGGACCACCCCCATTTTCTTAAAGGACCCCCTGCAAATGTCCCCATACCCCCAGTTCCAACAAAGTGGTCAAGGCAACCAGTCACACGGGGGAGGTGGGGGGTAAGCAGGGCGCATAGTTTCAGAACTCCCTCCCCTGAATGGGGAAAGTGGGGAGTGAGAAAAGCCACACTCCACCCTTCAAGGCCTCCCCACCCCTGAAAACCCATTCCAACCCCTATGTATCCCTCCGTCCCCCCAGCCCCATTCCAATGTCCATGCTAGGAGCTGTTAAGTGCAGTGAGATCCATGGTCCAGGGTGGGCAGCTAAGGGGTGGGGACTGTGACGAGATCCTGGGAGAGGGGTAGAGGAGGAAGGAAGGGTAGACACTGGCTCAGTCTGATGGTCATTTCCCTGGAGGCTCCCCCAGGGCTAATATCTCTCTAAGGTTGCAGAGTCCTAGCCTGGGCTCCCCCCACCCTCACCCCACCCCATGCATTTTGCTTTAAAAAAAAATGGGGGTGGGCGGGGGCAGAACTAGAGGGGCCAAAAAAAAAAATAGGAGTCACAGAGGGGACTCTCCCTTCAACCCCTCCCCAGCCCCCCAAGGGCTTCGCTAGGCCCCTAGGGGTGCAGAGGCAGGCCTGGCCGCCCCCAGGGCTCAGTTGGAGTCCGAGTCAGACGAGTCTCCCGAGGAAGACGAGCTGGAGCTGCTCCCCTCTGACTCATTGTCCTCGTCTTCATCCTCATCCTCATCTTCGTCATCATCCTCTTCATCATCGTCATTCTGAAAGGGGTAAAGGACAGCACCATGATTTTAGGGGAGGGCAAGCCATTTCCTTGGCTGTTGCCTACGTGAGGACGAACAGAACCTTGACCCCAGCAACCATTTAAACATGTCCTGAGAGGGGCTTCCTTCACCCCCCCACCTGAATGCCCACCCATGGCCTCAGCCTACCCCCCACTCCCCACATATGAGCTCTCACCTCATCCCCATCCTCGCTCTCATCCTCACTGCTAGACTCAGAAGAATCACCACCCTCATCTGAGGAGTCCCCATTTTCATCATCATCATCATCATCTTCATCTTCTTCCTCTTCCTCATCATCATCGTCATCTTCCTCTGATTCCTGGGGACAGGAGGGAGGAACTATTGATGTCTACTGGGAGCTCCTCCCTGGACTTAAAGGGATCTTGTTTCCTCCTCTGTGCCCCCCTCCCTTCAAAATCCCTTTCCTTTCCCTTCTCTTCCCACTCACCGACTTGGACTGCATGGTGGGCTTAGATTTAGGGTTTGGGCCCCGAAGCTTGGTCATGCTCTTGCGTTTCTGGAGGCGAGGGATGGGAAGAGAAACAGAAGTAACAGCTTTGAATTTCAAGCCGTGTTAGTTCACTGAATTTCCTTTCAATTCAAATGAATCTCTCTGCCTAGGCCGTGCCTCTACCACCAACCCCAGATCCTCACCCTCAGACTCACATTGGAGATGTATTCTTTGTAAGCAGCACGGTCCTGTGGGGACAGACTCTGGAGGACAAGAAGGCAGAGAGAAGTATGAGATGCAGCAGCAAAGGTGGGAAAAATTTCTTTTCTACCTGTGGAAATCCGGGTGATCCCCCCAGTCTCTATCCCACAACCCCTCCCCCCAAAAAAATTCTGCAAAGGATTTAGAGGAGAAGCGGGGCAAGGTTAGTTTTGGAAACACGGCTATCTATTCATATACACCTCCCTCCTTTTATCTCTACCACAAGCTTCCAACATGAGACTATGAGCCCATGAGCCCATGGTGGCCTAACCCTGACACTTAATTTTTAAGCTTTCATTTTTTTAACCTACTTGGCTAGAACCTATAGAAGTGACCTAGCAGAGCAGACTAACAGAGTGGAGGGGTCTAACCCCCTGTCCTCCACTTGCTACTATGGTGTAACAAGCCCTGGTCCAGAGTTCCATGTACACCTCACACCGTTTCTAAGGGAGTGCAGGCCTCTTTCTCTGGTTCTGTGGGAACCTTGGCTTCTCTTTGTGCACATATCTTTCCCCCTGCTCCCTCTCTCTCCTTCCTTGTTGGGAAGAGGCAGCAGTGACAGAGACAGGGTTAACATGCTTGTTGGATTTAGAGTCGGGAGGACTAAGTTATCCTGCCTTGGACACTGACCAGCTGTGCTATGGCCATGGCCAAGTTTCCGCAAACCTCTCACGAGTCTCGCTTTCCTCATCCGTAAAATAAGCGTGTCAATAGCTGTACTGTCTGCCCCACTGGATTGTTGGGAGGGTGGCCCTTTGCAAAGCCTAAAGCTCTATTCAACTATTGGCTGTCATTACTGAATAATTTGAATCGAAGCTGAATGTGATTAACTGCACAGCTGAATCTGAGCAACCCACACAATACTTGTGGATTTTCTGGATACCGGATGTCTTCAAACTCCACTATTTACTATGTTCTACCTCCCCCACTGGACTATGACATTAACAATAATGATGATAGCGGCTAGCATTTATATGGTGCCTTTAAGATCTGCAAAGTGCTTTGCAAATACTTCATTTGATCCTCATAGCAACCTGGAAGATAGGTGCTATTATTATCCCCATTTTACAGAGGGGGAAACTGAGGTTAGATGACTTGCCCAGAATCACACAGCTAGGAAGTATATGAGGTTTCATTTGAACTCAGGTCTTCCTGTCTCCAGGCCTAGCGCTCTGTCCACTATGGCGCCACCTAGCTACTTCTAGGTCCAAGTCCTTTCCTGCTGCTTTGCACCCACCCAGGCAAGTGTTCTCTGTTGACAATGGAGCCAAGACATCTAACTTATACAACTGGCTTCCAAGAGGGAAGGACGTGGACAAATAGCAAGACTACTCATCTCTGTAAATCGACAGAACTGAGGTCCAAGGCCACACAATGGAAATCCACCACCAGGCCAGGCCTAGACCCCAAGTGGGACTTCATATGGTGGGCCAGGCCAGAACTCCCACTGGTGTAGCGGAAAGAACATTAAGATTTAATAATAAGGGACCCTGGGCTCAAATCTCAGTATTAACAATTACCAGCTGTGAGGCTCCACCAATAAGTGGAGTAATCCAGAGCCCTGGATTTGGAGTCAAGAAGACTGGCGTGCAAATCCTGGGCAAGTCAGTTAACTTCTCTGGGCCTCAGTTTCTACATCTGTAAATGAGGGAGTTGGACTCTAAGTCTATGATCCTACTAATGTTTCGGTGCTTCAGTTTCCTCATCTGTATGATGGCCCCTTTTGGCTCTAAATCTACAATCCTATGAATTTTTTTTAGCTTGAGTTTCCTTGCCTGTGAATCAGAGAGAATGATACTTGCACTTACCTACGCTCTGTGTGGTTATTGTGAGAAGAGCACTTTGGAAACCTCACAAGTGCTATGGAAAGGTGACTGATTTTGTGGGTTTCCTTCCTCCTCCCAAGTTCTCTTTCCTTTGTACCCCAGCTCTCACCTTGACCCAAAGGTCCAAGTGCACCTTGTATTGCTTTTGTTGCTCTTCTGCTAGCTTCTTGTAATGCTCCTTCTGGCCCTGGGAAATCCGCTGCCACCGGCTGCCAATCTCCACCATCCTCTCTTTCAGGGGCAGATGGTTCAGCTCTCCATTGGACAGCAGCTCTTGGGAGAACTTCTGGTAACCATTCCTAAGCGAGAAGAGGTGACAGGTCCTGGTCATGACTACAGTCCCAGGAGCCTTTTGGCAGGAGGAATCCCCCATATCCTAGCCCCAATGTCTGGATGTCAGAGCTACCCCACCCCCACACTCAGGTCATGACTCACATGGGAGGCTTTTTGGGCTCCCCCTGGAACTTCATCTTCTTGGAGGAATTGGCAGTTGCTGGGGGAGCCCGCATCTCACTCAGTTCTCTCTACAGGAAGAGAGGAAAAGCTTAAATCAGTACATAGATCCCATCCACCCACCCAACTGGCCCTCAAAGACGTGCTGTGGCTCTGGAGGATTTGTTCTATGAAGTTTGGATTCAGGCAAAGGGCAGCACTTGAGGAACTAGAGGGTCACATGTGGCCTTTTGGCCGCAGGTTCCACACCCCTGCTATAGCTCCTTAACCTGGCCTATTCAGGGCATGCCAGGATACCATGCAATTCAACTCTATCCATTAGGTGCCAGGCACAGTGCTAATCCCTGCCCCTTCCCAATCCCATCCCTAGAAGGAAATAAAGCAAGAGCAAGTAGCCAGGCAAATTATGGGGGTGAACGTAAATAACAGAGTATGACAGCCCTCTAACGAAAGGATGGCGTTAAAAGCCTGAAAGGACCTGATCAGGCAATGCCCTGCTTCACTCCCCCCATTCCACACCTCGTATCTCTTCTGGTCCTCAGCTGCCTTCTTAATCCACATGAGTTTCTCCTTCTTTTCCATATTGTTCCAGGTTACTTCCATAGCTTTCAGGGCTTTCACCCGGTCATTCTGGCCAAGGAAAAGATGGTCAGATGTGGGGAGGGGGTCTCCACCTGAATCCACATGTAGGCCTGCTTCTCACTCGGACTCTAGGGGGAAGACTTCCCCCACCTCCCCTCAGCACCTCAATCAGCCCCACCCACCTCAACCCGCCTTCCAACCTTGAAACGAGCCAGGTAGTCCCCAATGACACTCTGTTGCCAAATCTCCTCTGCGGTCTTGGGCGACTCGGGCAGCTTTCCCCTCTCCTCCCGCTCCGTGCCGGGCTTCCTCTCGGACTGTGCTTTCAGGGCGGCCTCTCTCGCTTTGTACTTGGCCTAGAGTGGGGAAGGTCAGAAAGCAGCAGTCAGGGTCTTGGCTGCTGCCAGCACCTGGCTCCTGCCAGCCCACTCCTTCCACCCTCGGAATTATGATACGATGTACGGAGGGAGAGATGTTTCAAGATGTCTATCCCTGGGCAACTCCCACTAAGGTTCTTCTTGGGGGACCTCCTGTTTGTGCTAACACAGTGAGGCCTCTAGATGGCGCTGCGGCAGGAGTGTATTGGGATTTGGAAAGATCTGAGTTCAAATCCTGCCTCAAGAAACTAGCTCTATGACCTCTGTATTCTTGTTTCCTCTGTAAAATGAGGGAGTTGACCTCTATGGTCTACAAGGTCCTTTCTAATTCTAAATCTATGGTCCTTTGAGCTAATCTTCTATAGCTGCCTAAGAGGCATATATAACCTGGTCATGTAATTATACTAGCAATAATAATATACTAAAGGCCAGGTGCTAAGCATTAAGATATATAAGCGCTTCACAAAATATTATCTCATTTGATCCTCACAACACTGCGAGGTGGGTTCTATTATTAATCCCATTTTACAGAGGAAGAAACCGAAACAAACAGAGGTGAAGTTACTTGTCCAGGGTCACACAGCTAGTAAATGTCTGAGGCTTGGATTTGAAGTTAGGTCTTCCTGATTCCAGGCCTGGTACTCTATCTGCTGCACCACTACCAGATCGCCTCTAACAACTTAGCTCAAAGAGTTGGCTTAGGAAGAAGGGTTGCTGGGTTTAGGTGGGTGCTGTTTAATAGACACAGGTATGGGGGTGAGGCAGAAAAGCAGCTGTATTCCTCTTTAGATCTTCAAGGAGCCAGACACCCTTTTATGGGCTGCCTCCAAGCAGCTTTCTCTTCCAAGGGCAGCTCTAAGTTGATGATACTACTAATTTTTCTGGGCCTCAGTTTCCCCATTTGTAAAATGAGAGGTTAGATGCGATGGCTTCTAAGGTCTCTATCTTTCCTGGCAGGAGCTAGAAAAGTGGGGGGAAGTACTCTATGATCCCCCCAACCTTCTTCTTCTCGGACAGGTCATTCCACATGCGGGCCAGGAGCCGGGTCAGCTCGCTCTCTGACAGCTCTGGCCGCTCCTCCTGTAGCTGGCGTCGCTTTTCCTCCGAGAAGATGAACATGGCGGAGACAGGCCGCTTGGGTTTCTCGGAACCGCCCTGGCAAAGACAGGGACCTTAGCAGGGACCTGGTAGGGACCTTAGAGGCCATCGAGGGACTTGTACGGATTTCCAGTGGCAGGGAGCTTATGTCTGAGGAAGCGGGAGGCAGGTGTCTCGTCTCTGAGCCCGGGGCACCACTCCCCTCGGTCCATCCTTACCTTGCTACCATCAGGAGAAGGTTTCTTAGAGGCAGGGCTGGTGGCTCGCTTCCTGTTGATGCCTAACATCTTCTCCTCTCCCAAGACACGCTGCTGTTCTTCCTCAGGCAGGCTCTGAGGGGATGGGAGGGGACATAGGGTGTTGAGGCTGTTCTTTTCTTCCTTGTCTACCTTCATCTCCTTGACTGAGCCCCTAGAGGCAGTCAGGAATCTCTAAGCTTCCACCTAAGCTCTGCCCAGGGACCACAGGGATCACAGATCCATAGCTGTGCCTCAGACGCCAACCTCATCTTTTAACAGATGAGGAAACTGAGGCTCAGGGATTGGAAGTAGTTCCTCCAAGGTCACACGGGGTCTTAAGTGCCAGAGGTGGGGTTAGAACCCAGGTAGGTCCTCTGACTTGAGAGCAAAAGCTCTAGGAAGGGAGAATAAAATAGCTACAATTAACATTTATATAGCACTTATTACATGCCAGGCACAGTACTAAGTATAATAATAATAATGATAACAACAACAACAACAACAACAACAAACAGTTAACATTTATATAGTGATAACTATGTGCTAGGCACAGTGCTAAATGCTATAATTAATAATGATGATGACGATAATGGTTAATGTTTATCTTATTATTTAATTAATTATTTAACTTATTACATGCCAGGCACAGTGCTAAGTGCTTTATAATTTTCATCTCATTTGCACAACAAGACTGGGAGGAGGGTGCTATTATTATCCCTATTTTACAAATGAGAAAACTGAGGCAGACAAGGTTAAGTGATCTGCCCAGGGTCACACAGCTAGGAGGTGTCGGAGGATGGATCTGACTTCAGGGCTCCCTGACTCTAGACCTGGCACTCTATCTACGGTGCCACCTCACTGATGAACTCCTTCTGCCTACTAACAAACCTCCTGGCCTGACCTGGTGGTTCACTTTGGTTTGTATGAATGTGATGACAACTCCGTTTGACTGGCCGCCCATACATTTAGGAGAAAAACTAGAGAAGTCTGTCTTGCTGCACTACCCTCCCCTAGCCAGACCTGGCCCCGGATCCTCTAGATTCTGCACTGTGACCCTATCTCCATCCCTCCTCTCCCAGGGGGCTGCCCATGTCCAACACTCACCTCCAGAAAGCGCAGGAGTTCAATCTCATAATCTTTCTTTTTCTGGGGAAGCAGGGAGGAGAGTTAGTCATGGAAGCCTGGTTTTTCAATCTTTGGGCGGGAGGGGGGGAGAGGTGGGAAGGTGGCTAGACAAGTCCAGCATTCAGTCAGGGAAGTGATTTATAGAAGTGATTTACCCTTTCTAAACTTCTAAAGCTTTCCCTCAGGGTCTACAAACACAATATAGGGGAAAATGGGGGGGGGGTCAATGGGAGCTATGGTAGAAAAGGGTAGCGTCTGAAGAGCAAACCTTGTGTAACAAAGTTCCTGACCAGGAGGGAACCTCAAGAGCCTATGTTCTGGAGCACAGTGGTTCTTGTAGGGAGAGTAGACAAGACCTCTGGGTTCTACAGTTATTTTAGAGAGGACGTATGGGTGGGTGAGAGGAGAGAGGAGGATGAGGAGGGAGCAGGGAACTCATTAACCATGCTAGCAGTTCTCAAAGTGTGGTCCAGAGACCCCTGAGTCTTCCCTAGACACTTTCAGGGTATCCACCTATTTTACAGTCAAAGCTATTTTCACAATAACATTGTTTTAATTTCTAGTACGATAAATAGCAGTAGACATAATCTACAAAAACAAAAGTTCTTTAGGGACTCCTCTATAATTTTAAAGGGTACAAAAAAGGAGTCCTGAGACCAAAAGGTTTAAGAACTAATGCACCAGATTGACAATTAATAATTAAAATTTTTGTATCATGATCTACTTTGGTAATCTGAAGAAGCCAACAGACTCCTCAAGTAAACGATAAATTTTAGCTAGAGATTAATAAGAAAATAAAAGATGGAATTTTTTCCTTATCCAAATTCATGGACCCCTCCCTTGTGGAGAGTCTGAAGACCTAGTTAAGAACGCCTGAATTAAGCCATCTATCTCCTGAAGAAAAGAAATGGAGAGAGGCAGATACCCATGGGTGTCAGCAGTGATCAGGGGTGTGACGGCTGGTCCTCTCTCTTCTCCCCTCCCACCGGCCACGTCTTCTTCTTCCCTTCCCAAACCTACACTCACCTGGTCACACTTCTTGTGGTAGGCATCTTTCTCCTTCTGGGAAAGAAGCTTCCATTGCTGGCTACAAAGCACCATTCTTTCCGTGCTTGGTACGTCCTTCATGTTGGCCATCAGCTCCGCACAGTAGAGGGAGTAGCTATTTCTGGGGGAGGGCGTATGCATGGGAGTCACTAACCAAAAAGTGTCCACTGCTTAGGGTTTGTGGGGGCACATTACGAGCCACCCCCTAACTCCCCGTTCTTCCCCTCCTTTCCCCATTCTGGGAATGACTCTTACGGAGGTGGCTTGGTGGGTCGTCCATCAAATTTGTCCTTGAGCTGACGCTCTGCCTTTGTAAGGGTGGACTTGGTGATGCCTTCCTCGCTGATGTTGAGTTCGGGGTGCTTCTGGATGTAGTCTCTCATGATCTCCTGCAGAGTCGGGGTAGGGTGGAGGGAGGGGCGAACGGGGGCAAGGGGTTAGCAGGGATAGGTTGTGGGAGGCCAGCCGCTTCAGAAAGGGGAGGAAGAAAGAAGCTGGGGGATGGGAGCAGCCAGCTCTCTGGCCATACCCTCACCCCCTGGCAAAAGGGGGTGGGGATGGGTTGGTTTAAAAGCGCCCTGCCCTGCCCTGCTCTAGCCTGAGCCTTTAAGAGGGGTCAAGGTGGGATGAGGGAGAGGAAAGGGGGCCACAATGGCCCCTCCCTCTATTGGGGGCCAGGGATTAAACACCTCCCTTCGCTCAGCCTGGAAGTAACTTCCCAAAAACAGAGCGAGGTGGCCATGGAATAGAGTGGGTGAGGGTAGAGGGGTGAGGGGGCCCTCTGGGGGTCCCCTGCCCCGCCCCAAGTCATGAAGAGCTGGGGTGAGGGGCTGGGGGGCCCAGTGGTGGAATGCAGCGGAAGCCTGACCTCATACTCCTTCCGCTGCTCCAGGGCCTTATGAATCCATTTCAGCCTCTTTTTGTCCGAGAGCTGAGACCACTGCTTCCCCAGGGAGTCCTTCACCTCCTTCGTAGTGGCCTGGAAACCAAAAGCCGTCAGACACACACAGGCAGCCCGGGCAGGGGGAGGGGGGCAGAGAGACCCCCTCCCCCGAGGAGGGGGGACAGGAAGCCACGGGAGGACACATCAGCGTCCTCCACGGGCTGGAAGGGAAGGGACGGAGGGGAGGGTCAGAGGAAGGCCCCCCTCTCTCCCTCTCTCAGGGTAACAAGCGTGCGCAGACACTCTCACACACGCACACTGTCCAGCCCCCGGCCTTGTCCATGCAATACACCCCCCTGCCCATGGGCTCTCCTTTCCTGCTCCCCACCGCCGTGCATGGCCCCACCTGGCGCAATTTCCCAACCCTCCCTACCCCTGCCCCTCCCAAGCCTCAGCCCACTCACATCAGGGCGAACTTTCAGATACACCTTCTTTTCGTGAGTGTACCACAGCTGCTGGGGGGTTTTGGGTTTCTCAGGCACATCCGACTTCTTGGCATTCTGGATTAGGTCAGGGTGATCCTCCCTAGCCAGAGGATACCAGTAAGTGGGTGCTGAGGCAAGGACCCCAACCTGACTATGCCATTCCCCACCCCCATCCCTATCACACCAAGGTTCTAAGGGCCAATTTGACTGTAAGCTGTGATCGCCTCCCATGCCTCCCCATCAGGCTACATTTTCCACCAGGGGTCTGCATAAGAATCAAATCCTTCCACAAAGTGAAAACCCTGCCCTAGGCTGGTTGCCTTCTCAGTTCAGTAAGCCCCTTCTCCAATCCCACTTCCTTACCTGAATCGAGCCAGGTTTCGTTCAAACTCTTGTTTCTCTCTCTGGAAGTCTTGAATGTACTTCATCTGGGGGAGGGGAGGAGGGGTTACCCAGCAGGCAAGGTCTGCCTTTCCCCACATCACACAGAATCCCAGAAATTCACCCCAATGGGAGACTGAGCTTAGGGAGGGAAAATGGTCAGGTCAGCCTGCCTTTAACAGCAAGGGCAGAGGCAGAAAGCTCAAGAGGCACCAGGTCACAACAGCCAAGTCAGTCTCCCTTATCACATGAACTCTTCTGTCCTTTCAATCTGAGCACTGGCTCCAAATCTCACCTCTGACACTCCGTGTGACTTTTGAGAAGCCATTAACCCGTTCCCTCATCTGAACAATGAGCATTTCAGATAATGATCCTATCAGCTTTTTCTATGCCCACTTTTTACCTGCTTCATTGTCAGATTTCCCAGTGGGGCTGATGGGAAAGTTTCAGGCATCAGGGCAGGGAGAAAATAACACTAAATCTGAACCTTCCAAGGCCCTACTCCAATACCTCCTAGCAGTGTGACACTGGCCCAGTGACTCATTCTTCTGCAGTCTCAATTACCAACTTCCACAAGACTACAGAAAGCCTCAGATGAGAGGATATGTATTTTGTAAACCCTAAAACAGTTAACAAGAACTAGTCCTACTTCACTTCATAGGACTGACCTGTTCCTGAAAAGATGGCTGAAAATAGGGTGTTAAAAATCCATAGGGGTCACTTGCTATTTCTCAAACCCCCAAGTTACTTTGCTTCTGTCATGCTAGTATGCCCTAATTGAGCTGCCTTATTTTGAAATTTAGATTTTTCGCTATCAGGTTTCCTCTAGGGTCATACCTTCAGGTGCTCCTATCCCTTCTCTCATGGCCTTTCTCTCCAATTTCTTTTCCCTTTCTTATCTTGTTACCTCTATATTCTGCTTCCCAATTCCATCTTACCTCCTCTCTAATCTTTCCCCCTCCATAGACATTTCCTGTCTAACCCTTATTCATAATCATCTTTCTTCCTTTAGTTTTCTCGTTCTTAATTAACTCAAACCATAAAATTCAGGGCTGGTGGGGCAATGAGATCATGTAGTACAAACCCCATCTTACAGAGTGAGGAGCTGGGGCACAAGATTTAAATGTGTCCAAGGACATAAAGAGAGCAAGAGGCAGATTCAGAATTTGCTCATCCTCCACCCCACCTCCCATTGGTTCCCTCAATCTTCTTCTGTTTCTGAATTGTATCTTTATATTCCCATTTCTATTTTAAAAATTCTTATTCCCTTTTCCCCCTCATTGAATAATTGTTTCTATCCCTTCCCTTCACTTTCATCAAACCCTCCATTTTATCCTTCCCACCATCTTTTTTTTCCCCTTTCAGTCTGAGCTCGTTTCCTAACTTCCCTCCACTTTCAGTGTTTCTATTCTCTTCAGGGACTACTTTAATTCTTATCCCTTAGAGAACACAGAATGACCACAAGGGAAGGTCACACAGCTTACAGTAAAGCCTTCATTTCACAGGCAAAGAATACTGAGGCAGCCTAGGGAAGATTGGTCACACACTGAGCATGTGCAAAAATCCAAGTGACCTGACTCCTAAGTCTTTGGTTCTTCCCGAGACCATGCTGCTTCTTCCTCTCCTTCTAGGTTGTTTGTCTGCCCCTCCATCCTTTTCTGTGTGTACGTATATACAGTAACATATACACACACATGCATATGTGAATACAAGCACACAGGTATGTAGTTACCTCTTGCTCTTCTGGTCAAACCAAGGCAGAAAGCAATGACTTAAAGAGATGGGGTTCCCATCTGACTTTGAAATACATTTACAACTACTTTTGAATGACAAATTTACCTTCCTCATTGTACAAAGTATAATTTGTCCTCATCTCCTACTCTCCTCCTACCTCCATTTTTCTTTGTCCAGGTTCTTCTCTCTCTTCCCTTCCCCCCTTTGATTCCTGCTTCTCTGTCTCCTTTATCTATGTCCTGCCCATCCTAAATTCCAGTCACTTGTGTCCTCCTCCCCCAATCTCTTCCTTAGGACCCATCCTTAACCCTGTGGTTATGCTGTGGTTTTTCTATCTGTTTCTATATATCACTGATTCAATGTGGAAGTCTCTGTACAAAAGCTGTCAATCACTGCCCCCATTTCTATCTCTGTGTGGTTTGGGCAGTCCCAGCTCCAGCTTCCTGCCCACCAGTCTTCCGGAAACTTAAATTTTAATCCATGAGTGGGTGCCCCCACCTCCAGCATGCTATCAATATGTCTTTAAGAGAGCATGCCTTCATGCATGTCTGTTTGTAGAAAAGCATGTATGACTATAATATGGTTTTGAGTTTTGGACAAAGTGTATGCCTGGCTTCCAAGTGTGTGAGGATGCATCTATGTGGGAGAACACATGTACAAAAATAAATGTTTATGGGACAGAATGTATGTATGTCTAGGTGCGTACATACCTGTACCATGCCTACTTGAGAGAACACATGGCACTGTATAACAATGTGAGTCTATCCCCACCTGAGTTCACTTATATGTGATGGAGCCTGTGAATAAATGGATGTGGTCCAGTCCCAACTCCGAGCATCCACTGCGTATGTGTGCCCATCATAATACAGGCAAAGTGGAACCATTCCTCCCACCTCTGTTTGTCCCCCTCCCCCCACCTTCTTCTTCTCAGGAAGCTCCTTATACTTCTTAGACAAGATTTTCGTCAGATCCAGGTTGCTCATCTCTGGGTGAAGTTTTGCATACTTAGCCCGCTTCTCCATAAAAAATCGGAAATAAGGGGTCAGAGGCTTCTTGGGGAAGTCCGGATGTTTCTGGAAGGAGAAAGGCCAAAGTGATAGCCAGGTTCAGCCTTCTCACCTTACCCCAAATTCATTTTCCCTCTGACCTCATCAGGTCTCAGAGACCCACCTTGAGTTTTTTGCCTTTGTAAGGATTCTTGACATGCTCCTGGGCATCCAGAATAAGTTCTGTCAACGTTCGGAACTTCCTTACCTTAGGGAGGACAAAAAATGATATTGGGGATGTCAGTGGCTGGGATTACTGCTCACTCATTTTCTTAGGTAATAACCATGTTGCCAGAGTAAAAAGCAAAGCCCCAAGCTAGGAACACGCACTCTTATGTAGCAGCAAAAGAGAGAAAAAAGAGACACAGAGAGATGGGGGTGGAGGAGATGGAGAACTAGTAAAAGATGGCCACATCTATAGATGTACAGAAGCACCTTCTCCAACCAGTTACTAGGGGAGAGACAAGTCACACCTTTTGCAAAGACAACCCCACTTCTCCGCCATCAATAGGTAGATAAGGACACCCACATGAAACAAATTATGGTATTCTGCCTTGGGAGACTAGAGTAGGTGGAGGTTTAGAAGAAATGGTTACCTCATTAGAGATCTCAACCCATTTGAGTTTGCACATATCCCCAGAGAAGTCCTTAAAGGCAACTTTCTCCCAGTCCATGTGTGATTCTGTGGTTTTGAACTTGGAGCTGTCATTAGAAGGCAGATTGTTCTTCATGCATTCCAACAAGGTCAGCATATCTTCCTGGGACCAGCGGTCTGTTGGGAAGGAGGCAAGTTGATGTCACTATCATAAAAGAGTAAGGCTGGGCTCCAACCCCATAGAATATAAACTCCCTGAGGGCAGGGGCCATTTCATATTTTTTTTTTTTGTCTTTGTATTCTTCTCGTTTTGCTAGGTACATCTGGTACATAGTACAAGTTTTCATAACTATTTCTTTGCTGAATTACATTGACTTCCAAAGCTCAGCTTCCTTCAGGACTCAATTTGTCTCCCTGGCAGAAGGCTCATCATCCCACATAGGCTGAGGCTCCAATGTGCTGTCCTTAGGAACTCTTTTTTTTCCTGTCTCCTACCACCTGAGAGATGGAATGTAGCATCCAAGTGACCAAGGACCCAAGCCAAAAGAACTCCTATTTCCCTTTGGCATATGAGCAGTGTTTTCATAGGATTACAGATTGGGCAGGGACCTGAGATATCATCTCTTCCAACCTTATTTTATGGAAAAACAAACAGAAACCCAGGGATGAAGTGAACTGCCCAAGGTCATACAATAAGTAACAAGTAGCAGAGCTGGAATTTGAACTCAGTCTTGCTGCCTCTTCATGGGGGATTAGTCCTAGAACCTTTCCCTATACTACTCAATATCCAAAAAAAAAGCTGAAATCATATGGAAAAGAATCTCATCAGATTAAGGAACAGAACTTTAGCTTAGGCCAAGAAGAAGCAACAAAAGGAGACAGCTTATAATTTGGGGTCTTTGTTGGGCAGGGGTGGCGAAAAAATGATTTTCTATCAAATTATTCAAATAGGAAAGGGAGGAGCAAAAGCTTTCGGGGACACAGAGGATGCCCTTCCCAATGGGGCCGGATATAGGGACTGCTTTGCAGCCCACAGAGTTCAGCTGGTTTCTCTGAGAGAGGAAGTGGGGGAGGCAATGTATGGTAACAGCTGCCAAGTTGTAGCTGAGGCTTAACACCCTGGCTGTGGATGTGGGAGAGACCCTGAGAAAGTCACACAGATGTTTCTTTATCACATCTCGAAACCAGGGAGTAAAGAAGGGACATCTTCAATGCCCCTAATCCCACAAGAAAGGGATATGTAGGGAATTTTTACAGAGGTAGGAAAAATGAAATTGAAATTGGGGTGGGAGGAGAGAATAATTGTCCCTTGGCTGGACAGGGAGGTAGAGGTAGGAATCTGAAAAAGCCACAGTCCCAGGTAGAGGGGCAGTATTCCCTAGGGGGTTGGGGGGGGGGGTTAGGCACAGTGCAGAGAGAAGAGGGTTGGGTGCCTTGGGAAAGAATGCCTAGCCTTCTTGGCTCAACTCCCTAAGAAACCAAAGATGGGGATTTGAAACAGCTGTTCCAAACAATCCAAGTCCAGACCCAAAGCAAGCATCTGGGTTTCTTTTTCGCACTGTATGTGTATTGGTTTATGGATAGTGATGGAGAAAGGAGGGAGTTGTTAAGCAGCTGTCCCAGAAACCAAAATCAAAGTGGTTTATTCATTTTCATTTTTATCCAATAAGTAACCTGCAACAGACAAAGGTCCTTCTTAGCACAGGTCACAGGAACCCATAATCCTCTCAGGGCAATGCCAGATGCTTCAATCCCTATCCCTTCCCCCAACCTCCCCTCCCTCTGACCAAGCTGGATTTCTTCACTATTCCAAGAGTGAAAAGAGATTTGAACTCAGTTGCTCAATACAGGCTAAGGTATAAAATAACCATAAAGAAGCTACCCCACCCCATCCCAGAAAATCGTTATCAATTTAATAAAATTGAAGCCTTTGTCACCCCCCCCCCAAAGACTTGCTCTTCATACCTTACCCCCCCCAACCCAAAGTGAGAGGTGAATTGTCTATGGCCTTACATCAAAGTGACACCCCCACCACTCCCACAGCTGGCTGGAGCCCAAGAGAAATTTTGTTCTCTGAAGACTGAATAATTAAGCAACTTCTTATTCTTGAACATCAGGATGGAAAAAAATATTCTATGTATGGGGGTGGGAGAGCAGAGGATATTTTCTGAAATGGAGGACAAATAACTTAGATCTATCCAGTCTTGTAGTAGCAGGTGCTTTAAAGGTATCTGGAGATTTGTAATGTCTTCATTCAACAAACATTTATTGGGCACCTACTATGTGCAGAGCATTCTGAGGGATACAAAGATAAATAAAACAGGTTGCTTGCCCTCAAGGAGCTTCTAAAGTCTTATTCTTCGTGCTTTATCCCCAAAAGGGATGATTTTGCTCAAAGTCTAAGTAGTAGGCAGTGCTGATGGCAGTACCCAGAATTTGGTGGTGGGAGTGAACTGAACATCCCATCCCCAAGCTTAAAGATCTCTCATCTTAAGATGGGGGAGGAGGTGGTGTTGGTGAGAAACTGAGGCTAGGGAAGGGACGGTTCTATACCCCCACAAAGAAGTGGCTTTCTAAGCACTAGGTGGGGGTTGGAGGTAAGAGTTCTCCCACCTTGGCCTTTGGGTACGGCCATCTCCAGGTCGGTGGGGCAGTCAGCTTCTCCGTTCATTGTCCAGCTGTCCAGCTTCTACTTCTGTCCTGGTGAGCCAGCCCGGGAGTGAAAGGCGTTTCACCCTAGAAAGAGCACACCCATTCCCCAATTCAGCCTGGCTGGGAGCACCAGCAGGTTCCCCTTCAGCTTCTCCCCCTAAAAGAAAGGAGGCAGTCTCCACACTTCCCACCCACCCTCTGGACTGCCAAAGGTGCCCCCCCCTTGCTGTCCCCCTCCCCCCTCCCCTCCCCCTGCAGCAGGGCTCAGCCTAGAGGAGGTGGGCAGGCTTGCAGGAGTACTCCCAGGCCCCCACGTGTGTGGTTGCTCAGGGCTCCAGGGTGCAGCGAGCTCCACCCCAAGGAAAAAACAAAACTCTCTCCACACGCGGGGGAGGGGGGTGGCCCGAGGGGAGGGGGGGAGGAGAAGGGCGGGTAAAGGGCGCGCGCCGCCGCGGGAACAGGGGCGCGCGCGCCAGTCTCCTCCTCCTCCCCCCCCCCCCCCCTTCCCCTGCTCCCCCCCGCCTCCGCAGCCCGGCGGGGACCCGGACGCTGCGCAGCCACCGCCAGCCCCGGAGCGCCGCGGCCGCACCGCCCCCGGGGAACCGGATCCGGATTCCTACCGCCCTCCCCCCCCTTCCCCGAGCCTCCAGCCCGGGCCAGCCAGCCCGGGGCCGAGCAGCTGGAGCTTCCCACTACCCTCAGCCCTGGGGGACCCTCCCGCCCCCCGCTCCGGAGCCGGGCTCAGCAGCAGCCGCGGCCGCAGCAGCCGCGGCCCCAGCGGCCGGAGTCAGCACCTCCTCGTCCCCCGAGCCCCGCGGCCCAGCCCAGGCGGCGCCCCCGCCCCGGCCCCCGGGGAGTTGAGCCAAGACCGAGAGGGAGGGAGGCAGCCAGGCAGGCAGGCGGGGGCGTACAGGACTCGCCGTCCCCGCCGCCCCCTCCGGCGATCCGGGAGAACTGCGGCTCCCGCCCCGGGAGGAACGCGGGCTCCCCCGCCCTGCGACTAGGCTCGGCCTGGGCCTCCCCGCGCCCGGCTGCCCCGCGCGTCCTCCTCCGTCTGCTCCGCGTTCTCTCCCCCCAGCCTCCTCCTCCTCCAGCTCCCCCGGGGCAGGATTTCTCCCGGGGGCTCGGGCCCCCTCGCGCAGCCTCCGGCTCCGTCCTCGTCCTCCTGCTCCAGCTCCCTCGGCCCCAGCCCACGTTCTCCGGCCCTTTCTCCCCTTCCGCGCTCCCGGGTTGCCGTCCCCCCTTGCTCGGCCCTCGGTCCCCTCCCTCCACGTTGCTCGATCTCCTTCCCCCGGCGCAACCTCTCGCTCTTCCTCCCTAGCCCTAGTCCCGCGATTACCGGGCGCAGCTCCGCGTCCGGGTGCCCCGCTCCCGCGGCTCCCTCCTCCCCCGCTCTGCCGGGCACAGCCGCAGCTCCCTCCCGCGGCAGCTCCTCCTCCTCCGAGCGCGGCTGGGGCGGCGGCTGCTGAGGCGGCTGCTGCTGCTGCTGCTGGGGCGGCGGCGGCTGTGGCTGCGGCGGCGGCTGCTGCTGCTGCTGCTGCTGCTCCTCGCGGCGAAAAGCACAAAGCACAGCGCCCTCCGCCTGCAGGCAGCCCGCCCGCCCGCCCGCCGGCCGGTCCCGGGCTCTGCGAGCACACCCCCCGTCGCCGCTGCAGCCTCCGCCGCCGGAGCGGGAAGGAGGAGGGAGAAGGGAGGAGGAGGAGCGGGGAGGGGGGGCGGGAGAAGCGGGGCAGCGAGCGCGTCCTTCCCCGTAGAGCGCACACCGACCCCCGGGGAGCGAGCGCCCGCCCGCCCCGAAGGCTCCTCTCCCTCCCACAGCCCAGCCCGGGCGGGCTCCACGGGGGGCAGCTGGGAGGAGGGGCGGGGAGCTGGGGGGGACCCGGGCGGCCGAGGCGGAGGGAAGGAAGGGGGGGGAGATGGCGGCAGCAGCGGTGGCTGGTGGCGGCTGGGGGGGGCTGAGGGAAAGAGACACGCAGCCGCCCGGATGGCGGCGGAGATCGGGGCCGGGGAGAAGGAGTGAACTGGCGGCGAGAGCGACCTCCCCAGACCCATAGGAGAACTAGCAGCCTCGGCTGCTGGAGGGCGCAAGGCCCGGGCCCAGGAGAGGGCACACCATGGGTCCCCCAGACCCTGGGAAGTAGCAAAGGAATCTCCCCCATAATTTTGTATCTTCTTTCTGCGGAGCTCGGCACAGAAAATTTGGTTCTCCGTCTACCTCCCAGGGCATAATCCGTGCCCTCTTCCCCTTGCTAGCTCCTCACTACCACTACCTTCACCCCCAAATCGGCGCTGCGGAGCCGAGAGACAAGCTGGCCGCAGAGCAGCGTTTGCCGCTTCTCCCCTTTCTCGCCGGGCTTCGCTTTCCTTCCCAGAAAAATACGGTTCCAAAATCTTGTTTAAAAAAAAAAAACCCAGCAAACCCCCCCCCCCCCCCCCCAAAAATTTCCATTTCTCTCTACACCCCGGAAACGCCGCGGGAATCGGGTCTGAGGTGGCGCCTCCGAGGAGCAGGCTCAATTCAGGTCGGCATGGCTCGCTCGGGCCTTCCCCGAGCGCATGGAGATCCGCCTCCCGCAGCTCCTCTCTCGGCTCCCCCATTACCCTGAAATACGGCGACGCAGAGGCTTCCTTACCCGGCTCTGTGTGTCTAGCTCTGGGTGCGCGGGCCGGGGGGTATCCGGGGAGCGGTGGCTGGGCGAGGGAGCGGGACGTGGAGCCGATCCGCAGCTCCCGCTGCAGCCGACGCCAAGGGAGCGAGTCGCCAGACAAAGCCCGCGATGGCGAAGCGGAGGGACGGCTAATGGCGAGCCACACGCGCGGCGCTCCGCCCGCCCCGCTCCGTCCGCCCGCCCCGGCGCAGCGCAGCAGCGCTCCGAGCGCTCGCCCTGTCAGTGCCCCAGCCCCGCCGCCGCCGCCTGCCAGGCCTTCCCCGGCCTCTCCTTTCCCCCTCCTCTTCGGCCGAGCTCCCTCAATCTCCCCCCACCGACCCCTCCCCTCCCGCTGGGGGGCTGGAAAAAGGAAAAAAACCCACCACTTTTTTCCCCTCTTTTTGGCTTTCCCCCTTCCTTCTCGCACTCACCTGCGGAGCCGCCAGGAGGGCCAGGGGTGGGGGGCAAGTGGGGCTGGTGCCGGGGAGCGCTGGTTGAAAGCTAGCCAAGCTCTGCAGCGCCCGACCCGGGCGTGGACTCCGCCGCCAGTCCCCGCAGAGAAATCGTCCTCCTACCCCCGCCTCCATCGCTCTGCTTTTTTCTTCCAATCAGCCGGGCGCTTGGCGGCTCCTCCATCCTCCAGCCAAGCTCCACAGCCCTACAGCGGACTCCACTCCTCCATCTGCTCTCTCCGGCTCCTCTCTTCCCTACCCTGGACTGGAGAAGAGGGGAGGGGGGGTGGGGGGGGAGAGAGAGACGGAGGTGGATTTATTAGGGAACCTGCTTCTCTTTTCCCCTCACACCACCCCTCCCTCCCTTTTCTTCTCTCTTCTCCCTGGCTTCTCTCCCTCTTGCTTCTTTTCAACTCTCCCTTCTCGCGACTGGGGTGTTGTGAGTGTGTCTCTCTGTGTGTGTCTGTGCGCGTTTTTTTTTTTTTTTTATTGCTCTTTGCTTTTGCAACACTGAAGCCAAAAGAAGAGGAGGAGGAGAAAGAGAAGGGGGGGCATGGTATGTCAAAATTCTCTTCTTATATTTCCAGAAAAACAAAAAAGCCCCCCCCCCCCGTTTCCATCTCAGTTCCTTTAGGGCCTTCTGGTTCTTATGCCCCTCCGTGGAATTCGTAATACGCGTGATTTTCTCCAAAAGTTCTCCCCTAGGGTGGGCGATGATGCTGAAGAGGGAGGCTTGGTACCAACGGGAGAGAAAACTCCCCCTACCTCCCACCCTTAGGCGGAAAAAAAAAAGAAAAAACCTAAACTCAAGAGTGAAGGGAGAGCTAGGAGCTAGGCGGGGCTCCGGGAAAAGGGCTTGGGAGAGGTTGGGTTTGCCTTCTCTCTTCTCTCTCCCTTTCGTCTGTCTCCTTTTCGCCCCAGCGAGATCCCCCTTTAATTTTTTTTTCTCCTCTTTAATCTAATTTCTTCCAACTCCACCTTTGTTGTTATGGGCGTCACGGTCCGGCTAGCCAATCCCCACCACGGGATCAGCTTGCTTGTCAAAAAGGCCTGGGTCATCCCGGAGAAAGAGGGTGGCTGGAGCAGTCTTAACCCCCCCCCCCCAAGCACCCGGCGGCGAGAGGCTCGGGAGGGACCCAGGGAGCCCCAGTGCTGTGCCTGCAGAGGCTGCCTGCAGAGGCTGGTCGGGATCACTCTCTACTCCTAGGCGGCCTCCTTCCTGTTAGGCCTTCCCGTCAGGGGCGGGGAGGGAAGGAGGAGGCATTTCTCAGCTTTAACTGGCCCTCTGGGGCTTGGGGTTTATCAAAGGGGACAGTTATAGGGGAGTGGGGGGCGCCTCGGCGGCCCTCCCTCCTCCTCCCACGAGGCTTATGCTAGCTGGTGGTTTCTATCCCCTCCACCGAGGAAGTGGCTTTTCAAGCCTTGGGATCCCGAGGGGCAGTCTAGGAAAGGGAGCCTACGAGGCTTGCACTAGTGTCTGGGTGAGGGGTCGGGGTCGGAGCGGGGGGGGGATTGCCTCTCCGCTCCCCCTCCTCCAGCAGCGCCATCTTCCCGGGCAAAGGGCTGCGAGGCTCGTCCAGCACCATCATGCACGCTCTTGTGCAGATACAGTTGCTTTTCTCACCCACAAGGCATGTGTTTTAGGGGGATGGTCAGACGGTTGTGTATTCCCTCCTGTTTCCAGGGAGGATTCAAAACACTTTACGAGCATAACCTCATCACACATCTGCCTACTTACATAATCAAGGGGGAAAAAAAGCACAGGCCACAATTTGTGCTCTGAATGCCGCTTTCTCCCAGCGAGTAGGGATTATTTCATTTAGTGTAGTATTCTTACTCCCTGGGCCTGGAACACAATAGACGATTAATCAGTGCTTGTCAATTGTTGATAATGTGACAAAGGTGGATGTTTTGTCGGCACGTACAGTATATTATAGGCCTGTTATTTCCACCTGAAAGGGCTCTTTAAGGTGACTGTGCAGTGGGCCTCCTTTCTTCCTTCCCGCCCTGGACAGGAGGAAACTGAGGCCCAGAAAGATTTCCCTCCCCCAAGCTAGACCTGGAAGCCAGCGGCCTGGCTCCTAGCCTGCACTTACACACTGCTGGGCCAAGAGGCTATTATGGAAAGTACTTTGGAATGAAGCAGGGCTATCCCGACTTACAGGAATGGCAATTATTGATTTTTTATTCCTTGATTGACAAAAGTCACAGATGGCTCCCTTCCCATTTGAAAACAGGCAGTTTTGTTTATGTCCAGTGCCTTCCTCTCGAGGTTAGGAAATGAATAGCAGGGAATCTGCAGATTTGAATCCAACTGCAGCCAGCCTTCTTCCCCTAACAATCCTAGCCTTCTCCCTACCCACCCCCCTCCAACCTCCAGGATCACCTGACTTGAAAGACCTGGAGTATAATAGTAAATAATAGTAATAATAGTAAAAACAGCTAATCAACAGATTAACTTCATTTAAAAGCCCCTAGATTTAGAGTTGGAAGGAACCTTCGACACCATCAAGTCCAACTCCTTCAGGAAGATGAAAAGGTTAAGGGACTTGCTCAGGGTTGTGCATTAATTACATTTCTGAAGCTGAATTTGAACTCAGGCTTTCCTGACTCTGTCCAGCAGCATTCTAGTCACTCACTACTTCACCTACCTGCATTAAAGTCTAGACAGGGTAGACTCAGTGAATTCTGGAAATTTTGCAATTCAATTCAGCAAAGACTGATTAAGGTTCTACTATATGGAATAGCATTAGGGAAGCAAAGCTTGCTTTTCTTTTTCTTTCTTTTTTCTTTTTTTAAATGGCATAATCCTCTTATCCTCATGGAACCTATATTCCTCTAGAGGAGATAGATACAACGTGAACACATGTATAAGTACAAGCTAGGGGTTAGAGCATGAGGACAATTTTTTCTTCCCTTTTAAATTAATTTCTTCCATTTCCATTTTTGTTGTTGTGGGCATGGTGGTCTGGCCAGACAGTTCCTGTCACAGGATCAGCTTGCTTGTCGAGGCAACAGAAAAATGCAGCCAAAATGTACTCTAGGAAATATTCTGGCAAAATATGTGGATTTTTTAAAATTAATTTTTTTGTTTTCATTATCCTGAACTTAAATATCAAAAAAGTAAGTTGCCATATATGTATATGAAACCATGAATCTCCATTTCATACTGTTTTAAAAAGTACATAATAAATTCCACATGTTAATTTCAAAATTGGCTTGTCAGTGCTTTCTTATGAACTTCCTTCTTTTCTGCAAAATTAAAAAATTGCTCTCTTTTTAAAAAAAATCACTTTTTAAATGGTCAAATTCTCAGATGAAGAAATTAAAGCCATCTATAGTCATATGAAAAAATGCTCTAAATCACTATTGATTAGAGAAATGCAAATGAGAACAACTCTGAGATACCACATCACACCTATCAGATTGACCAACATGACAAAACAGGAAATGATAAATGTTGGAGAAGATGTGGGAAAATTGGAACACTAATGCATTGTTAGTGGAGTTGTGAAATGATCTAACCATTTTGGAGAGCAATTTGAAACTATGCCCAAAGGACTATAAAAATGTGCATACCCTTTGACCCAGCAATAGCATTTCTAGGGCTATATCCCAAAGAGATCATACAATTGGGAAAAGGACCCACATGTACAAAAATATTCATAGCAGCTCTTTTTGTGGTGGCAAAGAATTGGAAGTTGAGAGGATGCCCATCAATTGGGGAATGACTGAGCAAGTTGTGTTATATGAATGTGATGGAATACTATTGTGCTGTAAGAAATGATGAACAGGCTGACTTCAGAAAAACCTGGGAAGACTTGTATGGTCTGATACTGAGTGAAGTGAGCAGAATCAAGAGAACGTTGTACATAATAACAGCCATGTTGTGTGATGACTAATATTGATAAACTCAATCCTTCCTGGCAATACAAAGATCTAAGACATCTCCAGAGGCCTTGTAATGGAAAATGCTATCCACATCCAAAGAAGGAACTATGGAAGTTGAATTGCTATTTTTTTTCCTCTTCTGTTGAGTTTTGTTTCCTCTTTCTGATGGTTCCTCCTATTGGTTTTAATTTTTACTTACAACATCACTAATGTGAAAATATGTTTAATATGAATGTAAATGTATATCCTACATCAGATTGTGCACCATCGTGGGGAGGAAGGGGGAGAAAAATTTTAAACTCAAAAGCATATGGAAGTGATTATTGATAAATCAAAATAAATTAATAAAAAAACAAACAAAAATCACTTTTGTTAAATTTTCTCATCCCCATACAGTTCCATCCCCAGCCCCAATTAAAAACAGAGACAAAAACAAAAACAACTTCTTAATGAACAAGCATAGTCAAGCAAAATGAATCCACATAGTGGCCATGTCCAAAAATGTATGCTTCTGCACCTTTAGTCCACTATCTCTATCAAGATATCAGGATGTGAGTAACATGCTTTATCATAGATCCTCTAAGAGACACGGTTGGTCATCCTTTCAAAGTTGTTTTCTTTTATAATGTTATTGTCCTTAGACAAATCATGCTCTTGGTTCTGTATCAATTTATGCTGTCCAGATTTCTCTGAAATCATCTTTTTTTAAAATCATTTTTTTTGGCAGAGTAATAATAGTTCAGTCATTCCCCCTTAGATTCTAGATCTTTGCCCCCCCAACCTGCCCCCTTTTAATACTGTCTTGGAATCAGGAAATTTGTTTTGTTTGTAACTGTTCCCTCCCTGCTATCGTCCTTCTTCTTAACCTCAAATTATACACCGCCCTCCCCTACCCTTGCTTTCCTATTGAGTTTAATGTATTTCTACAAAAAAAACTGTATCAGTTTGTTCAGCCCGCCTTTGTTTCAAATAAAAGTAAGGTATAGCTGATGCTGTTACCCCTCACTCCAGGTTTGTGTGCTCCTTAAATGTATACCAATTATTAGAAATGTCAAATTCCACCCCTTTCTTCCTCCTTTCTACACTAGCATATTCTTTTTATTCTCTTTTCCTTTTTAAAACTTTTAGAACAGAACTAATCCACCAAGTCCTGTTTTTCTAATTTAGCTCCTGCTGTATAATACTCTCAAGATATTAAAGTTCTGAAGGGATACTAGCCTCTTCTGTCATTATCCAACTCCTTCCATTTGCTGAACTAAATTTAGTTTTCTAGGTTTCTTTGGACCCTGATGCTGTTATTTTGAAATTCCTACTTGGCTCTGATCTTTTCATTAGAAATGCTTGAAACATGGGAAAAAATTCCATTCATGCCCACCCCCAATGCCCCCCCATAGAATTATACTCGGCTTTGCAGGGTAAATTATACTTGGTTATTAGTCCATATTTTTGCCTTTTGGAATATTATGTTCCAAGATCTTCCGTGTATTATGGAAGCTACCGGGTCTTATGTGTACTTGATCCTGTTTGTGGTTCCTTGGTATCCAAACTGTTTCTTTTTGGAAGCTCACAATATTTTTTCTTTGATATAGGAGCTCTGGATTTTGGCTATGAAACTCCTGGAATTTATTCTTTTGATTCCCCCCCCTCCCGGGAGGTGTTTGGTGGGCTCTTTTTGTCTCTGCTTTGCTCTTCTTTTAATAAATCTGGACAGTTTTCATTTATGGTTTCTTTGAAATATACTATCTAGGCTTTGGGGAAAAAATCATGGTTTTCAGGGAGTTCGATAATAAAAATTATCTCTCTTTGACTTGTTTTCCAGATCAGTTGTTTTTGATATTGGGTTACATTTTCCTCAATTTTTTCAATGTTTTGATTTTGTTCTAATATTTCTTGTTGTCTTTTGGAGACATTGACTTCTTTTGGTCCATTCTAGTTTTCAGGGAGTAAGCTTACTATTTTCTCTCTTAATCTATTAATTAACCTTCCAATTCTTTCCTCTAGCAATTTAATTTTATTTCTTCTCGATATTCATGGCATCCTTGTGGAAAATCCATTTTTTCCTTTGAGTTTCTGCTTGCAGTTGTTAGGGAGTTGCTCTTTTAGGCTAGATTTATGGCCATCTCTAGGTCTACCATAAATTTTATATTAATTGATGTCTCCTTTTGGTGGTTTGTTCATTTCTTCAGCTTTAGTTCTTGAGCTTGGACTTTCTGCCAAGGCCTGGGTTCTGCTCTTGCTGTGCGTTTTTGGAGAGAGGTGG